AATTTGAGATTGTACAGACAAGAGATTGTCACAATACTTTCTTTTAAAACCCTAACTAAATATAGTCTCATATTGTAGCCACTTGAGACAGGGAAATATATCCCAGGAGACCTCGACACTAGCATGTCTGTAAGCTTCGTTAATGACGAATCCCATGGGTAGAGGTCACGAGTAATACGGCCACGTGTACTAACATGTTTGATCTACATGGACTTAAAAGATAACATCGTGTCAATTTCCAACTGTCAATGGCGTCAAGGGTTGACTCTGAATAGACTCCGACTTAAGTACGATAATCTTAGCGCTAAATTAGCTCTGTGGAGGACCGTAGTCGGGTGGATTTGCAAGGGTTGTGACCTTTACTAACTTTTAACTGGTTCCACTGTTGGTACACGCATATAAATATGCGCATTTAGCTTTTACATCATAAACACCATCGCAGCAAAATCAGTCTAACGAGTTACCTCGTTTAAATGTGGGTGGTTCACAATAGATATGTAATAGACGGGTTCTCGGAACCACCGCTTGGAGTCGCTGATGTTACTCTGCCTGCCAAGGAAAGAAAGAGAACCAGTCTTTAAGTGTGACGGCATGAAAGTCTGACGTCATTGTAATTGTGGCAACTGCAAATTAAAAAAAAACATATACTGCGACGAGAATGGAATCGAAACAAAGAGTGAGTATGAGTGAGTGAGTGAGTGGTTGGGTTGATGAGCGAGTGAGTGAGTGAGAGAAAGCGTTTCAGTTGATAATCGAATACATTTAAGGCAAATACGTTATTTTAAATGAAACATAACATGGGCATACACCTGCACAAGCGTTGTTGAAATAAATAACATATGTGTGTTGCACTGACTCGTACGATGTCTGTGTAATACATTAAGCAGTTACCCGTGAAGATCCGGGGTAGAATAGGTCTTTAGCAACCCATGCTTGTCATAAGAGGCCACAAACGGGATCGGGTGGTCAGGTTAGCTGACTTGGTTGATGCATGTCATCCTATTCCAATTGCGTGGGTCGATGCTCATGATGTCAATCACTGGATTGTCTGGTCCAGACTCGATTATTTACAGACCGCCGTCATACAGCTGTAATACTGCTGAGTGCGACGTTAAACAACAAACAAACAAACATTAGGCAGTACAATGTGAGTCCTAAATGACCCTGATGTTTGGTCATGGGTAGACTAGGTCAGGTGACAATCATTTGAATCAAACGAGAGAGAAGGTCATTTTTATAAGCCCGCAAAACGCATACCTTGTCTTGGACAGACAAACCAGTGGTCGATAACTTGAACATCCATTCACGCCGTTGGAGAACGATGATACACAATCAACAGTATCGCCACTGAGAGTTGGATTCCCTGTTTTGTCTTATACATACACAACCGCCATTGTAGCCACCGAATCCCCATTTCAGTCCCCTCTCGGGGGGAGTTCAAACTGGTAACTTAACTGCCTTTGGTTACATTTTCAACAAGGGACAGTATGCATACTTTAAAATATGGCGTTTGGACGCTTTGTTTTAAAGATATATAACAGGCCAGCCTTGTGATAAAAAGGTTATTTGGTCACACGGAATACCTGGTTCCCCCTCCCTGATACAACGTGTGAAAGCCACTCTTTGGTAATATGACTACAAAATACTAAAAACAAAGGTAAAGTTCTGTGATCGTATTCTTATTTACCATACACTGGATACTCGTAATTAGGACTGCGGCGTTAAACAACAAACAAATAAATATTCCTAATTAGCGGTACAGAAGTTTGAAAAGGTAAGACAATTTGAGAAGTGTTTTTACTAATTTATATGATCACAATTCTGCAGGAGTGATCAATACCATTATTTACAGTTAAGTGTTCTAATGGATCACAAGGACAATGGTTTACTGATTGTCTTAATCGGAGCCTTTCAGGATCATATAATTACCTCCCTTGGTGTCCTCGGGGGTCGGGATTAGTTAGGGTCGTTAATTATGTTTCCTTGGCGTATCTTAATGAGCTACCTCGTTTGTTGCCAAGGAAGATTGACAATGTAATTATTTTAATCTTTACCAGTGTGGCTATCGTCCGTTTGTGAAGTGATAGATCGAATTTTGAAAAAAACAAAACATTTGCAGTTAATGTTAACTGATTTGAGTAAAAGTTTGTTTTTTTTAATTGTTACAGGCGTTGCGGAGTTGTAAATGGCAAAGATATACATCAATATACGTAGTTTATGTTATATTATTCATCATTGTACTTTTCGACCAATATGAAGTATCGACATTTTGAGTGACGCTTTGAACAGTATTCCAGTTATATCTCGGCGTGTCAGCTTGATGTGGGAGGAAAGCTCAAAGTGATGCAAGTCTTAGCCGTTCACTTAGGTGAAACCCACGAGCACGGTTATGGCGCTGACAAACCAAGAAACATAATCGGGGCGAACCGGGATTTCAACCCACGATCACACACACACACACACACACACACACACACACACACACCACACCACACCACACCACACCGCACCACACCACACCACACACACACACACACACACACACACACATCGCTATATAAGTGCAGTAATCTTGAACACGACGTTACACCTTACTTCACCTCACCTATTGTTAGGATTGTCGGAAGTAACACACGACATGAGGCTTTTCATGTGACCAGTGCCGTTTAAGCTCCCAAGTTCAACAACATAAATACAGAAGGCTCCTTGTGTGCCTTGATTGGGAAGTTGTTCTGAAATGCCTTTCTTTGTAATTAAATGTGGTTTTATCTCTATATGTCTGTTTTCACGGACCATTTCCACCATGCTGAGCCTAGGAAGTAGGTCTGTTTTACGGCTCTTTCATTTCAGCAATATGTCTTGTGTCAGTTGGTTGTCAGTTGTAATTTCCGCTCCGTCTTTTGGTGTATGAATATATAAAAACGGTAGTATATATACCACGGAAAATAAATTAGGGTTCAGGTGATATTATGATCAATATGTTGAGATAAGTTCTGGCGTAACAATTGTGTGTATAATCTTGTATGTAATCATGCAATGCAAACTGGGGGTGAAACTTTACCGCAAGGCCACAATACGATACGTATCGCGATACATAGGTCACGATACGATACGTATCGCGATACAAAGGTCACGATACGTATCGCGATACATAGGTCACGATACGATACGTATCGCGATACATAGGTCACGACACGATACGTATCGCGATACATAGGTCACGATACGATACGTATCGCGATACACATATTTGCGTCTAATCGCGTGGAAACTTCATGACTTTTAATATTTCAAAGCAGGTTCAAAAGGGAAAAAATCTAGCTGTAGACACATGTTCGTGGAGGCTATTTGTATTAGTGAACTAATGCTAATTACAACACATTTTGCTGAATGTGACTGACAAAAACGCTGTGGTGTGTGTGTGTGTGTGGAGGGGGGGCATTAAATGAGTAGTAAGTTATATGTTTTAACAAGTATATCGTCTTGTATCGATACAGAGAAAATCGTATTGTGTATCGTATCATCGCATGAAAACTCACGATGCGCCTACGCACCGATGTACGTATCGTTTCACCCCTAATTATTGCAAATAGTACAAGAAATGGTTAACAACGCACAAACACTTCTATGGATTAATTTTGAGTATCAACAAACGTTTCTAACCGCTTTGATTGGAACATGACCATTGCATAAAGTTGTAAATGCATGTATAATAGGGCTGTGTAAGATGTATAGACCCATGTTTGATGAAGGCTAGAAATGAAACAAACAAGAAATGGTTATTGGATGATGATGTATTGGATACATGTATCATAGTTACTTACGTTTGCAGTGTTTCGGCGACTGTTTTCAGCCTAGTAACGTTTTGATAACGTTTGTAATGTTTGAGTCAAATCCATTTTACAACTGTATAGTTTCTTTAGCCTGGCATTTTGATAGAATTAAGTAGCGACTTTCTAAGTCACCAACGCTGTCCCTATGGCGTTATGTCGTATGTTGCCTACGATGGTTGAGGGTATATAGACTTCAACAAAAGGAGTATCTACTGGAGTCATATCAAAATACATTTTTATAACTAAATCATATATATTATACACTATTAACAAACTGCCTTCATTGTATACTATATATTTCAATATATTTGAACAGAGCAGACTGTGGATAAGTATGGTATATGAATGTAAAACACAATACATTGTATTAATAATACATTGTTTGCTACACGTATCATAAAAAGGTAATCATTATTGATAACGATTAATTTTTCCCGAAAGCATGTTTTAAACAAATACAATATGATCTTACATCGGTGAGTTATTCTCCTGCTTCCAAAACTTGGTCAGTTCATGGTTGTTTTCTCTACAGACAACGTCGGGTATAAGACGATACTGGGACTTATTATCTATTGTGCCCGGAAATCAAGACAGAGGTTTACACCTTTGTAGAATTGTTCTCTAAGCCCAGAGATAATCGTAGCTATATAACATCACTTCATCAATAACATGCAAAATACATAATTTTAATAATGTTGACTGCTTGTGACGGCGATTACAACGAAACATTTAGTTATCAATTTCCTGTGTTTAACCAAACTGCCGTATGCAGCTGTCCAGAATGTGTGGGTTCTGGAATCACGAGGTTCAAGTGTACACTAACAGTAAGGTTATCATACATAGCCGCGGCTGACATGTTCCCTGTTAATCTAAACTTGCCAACCATCAAACACTCAAAAATAGAACGAATGGTAAAGTAATACAATAAACACTTCGTAAGTGCATACAATTCCCCTCGACAGTGATTGATGATAATACCTCCCTGGACTTTTACTTATATGTTTCTCATGACTGTGTTGTGGGTATATGAACTTGAAACTACCCCACCCTAACCCTTGGGTGTTGTACTCCAGCCGTGCAAGACTTAATCTTGTATGTTATTGTGTAACCACGGCTGTATTGATTAAGTTGTGGTGCGCATGCATGTGCAGGCACCGTCTGTGGTCCCCCGCCTGTTGGAGCGCGAGACGGGATTAGTACAGTATACATCATAACGGAGCAGCCTTTCACCACTAGCTTAGTAATCCCCGACCACCCGCTAAACGTTAGATTAGAGTTACGTAGGTTTCTAAACTCTATTGTTCTACGTGAATCGGCAGTAAGGACGTAAGCCCGGGTAATACAAGGTGTGTGAGCGGGATCTATATAAAGTGGTTGGCGTGATTCCCCTTCAGCATTGCGCGTATACCAGGCAGGTCAGCGCAGACGTTGCCAACATTCCGTAGTGTCGTCTGCTATTACTGAAACGTTCATGGACTTACTGCTGAAGGACAAAACAGAAACAAGTCTGGATTTGACACGAGAAGGCGGCATTGCAAGCCTTGTAAGATTTTAACTCAAGGGCATTCAACCAGTTACCAACCTGGCATCCTGGTGCGAAATCGGCCTCCCTTCCCACAACCCCTTGCAACTTGATTACCCTCGTCCTATTCCCAGTAGCAGACGACAAGTTGCCGGCTTTGTTGAAATGTCGTACACGTCTATGTTTACAATATCTCCCCACGAAGTGGGGAAAATGGTGCGATTGAGACTAAAAAGCGAGGAAGATGAAAAACAGTGTTATATGCTACAAATCGTTCTGCAACCAGTGTATAGTGACTCCGACGTCCCCAACTCGTGTTTTAAAAAACTCCCTCGACTTGTGAATGGGATTCCTCTGGGAGCTGGACTGATGTCGAAGGATCAGCTGGGAAGTATACGATGGAGATACATAGAGGGAGGGAGGAAGATTCAGACATTCATATCGGAACCTATACACAAGGACGAAGCCGAGGAGACGAAACGGACGCTCAAGGATCGACTTGCAAAACAGTCGCAAGCCATTTTTGGCGATATGACGGTAAAAGCAACGATTGTGTTATCCCAGTGTTTGGACTATGACGATGATTTCATCATCAACGACATTGCAGTTTCCTTGGAGGAGGGTTTACATTTCCGAGACTGATACTAGCACTACACTAGTGCGTGATAGTGTATATCCATGTGTGTATGTGCCACTGTGATGGAGGTACGTGTGTAAACATAGCCTATATATGAAGTTTCTCGTGCGTGCATCACGTCCATGCACGCGCTGGTTGAGCCAGTGCCAATATAACATCTGTTTCTTCTATTACCGTCGTGGAATGCCACTTCCTAGTGATACAGATACCCAGACATCCCTGCTTGCTTACACACAGCCGCATCACCGGATCTCACTATATTGTGTCATGCCACCCAAACCGAGTTCTTCAAATCAAGCTGCTGATGTCATATTGACATATTTTTACCTTTTGTCATGTTTTCGTGTTCACAATGTTCTTTGTATTCTGTGCATTGTATTCTGTTAAAAGAAGAAATATCAGTTCGTTCAATAATTAGGGTTATTTTATCTAAAAAAATATTATAGTTGATCATATACGGGGGGTTTTCTTTTTAGGATACCGTTTTACATTTGTATACAAATCTACACACTTGTGAAGAACATTTCTCTTGAACGTTTTAATTAGATTCACGAGCTTATTTAGGCTTCTCAAAACCCATGTTACAATTGCATATCCAGGTTTGGTTCAACGATTAGCCTGAGCATGTACCGACACAGATGTTTGTAAACCCGATGCATTCGTGACCAACTCGTGTTATTCCGGGACAAGCTTGCAGCTCACGGAAAGAGGCGAGTGGTGACGAATGTACCCGATGATTTGGTAGTCGATGTACATTTCTTTATAATGTGTTTAGCGTGAAGGTCACCTTGGCCCGCAGTGAGGTCCCTAGACGCAACGGTCAAAACGCTTTGTCAAACATACATGAACTGTTGCCTCCTGGCTACAGGAATTTCACTGTAAGTTATAATTTAACTGTATGTATATGGAATGGTACTGAGACTTTCAAGCGCTGGCTTAAAGAGTGAAAATGTGTTAAAGTTTAATATAATATGTCAGATTTTATATTTATTATCAGTATTACATCATATTTGCATTTGAATAAAATGTTTTTGAAGCAAAGGCAGTGTATGGAAATATACGATCAAATATGAATTGTTTCATTAAATCTAAATTGCGTCAATGACACCACTTGAAATAGAATCACGAACTATCGCGATGATTAATAAACGAAGACAGCTGCATGTGTGCTAATACTTGTAAAGTGAAAACAAGCAATTCCGCCCATGGTGGATATTACTTACAGTAATAAGAAAAATTGCAAAGTGCGCTTTTCAAGAAATATTCAAAGGCAAGCGATAAACATCATCATTGAGTTTTGATCACGTGGTTACAACCCGGGTAAGAATCGGCAGTCAGGTGACTGCAAGCGGTCACATGACTTCGCAAGCTGACCCGGATAGTAGTCACGTGATCAGAACCAAACGATGATGTTTCTCGCTAGCAAAATGAATATTTCTTGAAAAGCGCACTTTGCATTTTTTTACATAACTGTAAGTAATATTCCTTATCGACGAAATGGCTTGTTTTCACTTTGTGAGCATATTTGCAGCTCACCTCGTTAATCAATAATCGCGATATGTCGTGGCGAGGACTATAATCCTATCTGTTATTGAAGTTCTTTGAAATTCTGGGATTCATGTCTGGCCTGATCCATACACTGACAGATGTGGTAAAACGTAGAATGGAAGAAATCCATCGTTGATATTTAATTGGATTTTATTTATTCATATACTTTGTTCAGGTCTGTGGAGCTCGCCGTGGCGTATGAATAGATTACTTGTTAAGCGTCACACGAAAGTGCTGAGTAATCAGTTATTCATGTCTTGTCGAAAACTGACATGATAGAATCACGTCACGTAGATGTATGCCATTTGTGGGGTCCACGTGATGTACATAATGTGAGAAATGAGGAATACCTTTACAAATCAGTATGAAAATTATCTGATGTGTTCAATTGAACTATTGCGTGTTTTGTACTTTCTAAAACACTAAGTCAAGGTTAAAATGTATTAAACTGGCTGATTTGAGAGGTTTTCAGGAAGCGTTTTTTTATATTTGAACACGAGCAAGTATTTTAGATAAATAATAAAGACAAAACCCTTTCCATATTCACAAGAAATCTTTGCTAAAAGCAGGGTCGATTGTACAATTCACAAGCCTCCACGATCATTTGTACTTCAAACAGTGCATGTGGCAAAATATTCATCTCGGGACATGGACGCGCTCATTGTTATAATCGTTCTTATGTCCCTAATTTTAGCCAAACTTATGTATTTGAAGGGGGCACGGGTGGCCAAGTCGTCAAAGGCGCCGCGATTCGCTGTGCAGAGTTGCGTCCATAGGGCACGCCAGAAACCTATGATTGTGGGTTCGAATCCCGGTTCGCCCCGATTATGTTTCTAGGTTTGTCAGCACCATACCTGTGCTCGTGGGTTTCACCGAAGTGATAAACGTCTGAGACCTGCATCTTTTCGGGCTTTCCTCCCACATTAAGCTGACACGCCACGATATAACTGGAATACTGTTAAAAGCGGCGTTAAACCCAACTCACACACTCATGTATTTGAACATGTCTTATACTTTCTACTCCAATAGTTAAACATTTTACGCAACTTTGATTTGACATTTTCAGTGGGTCAAATAGAGCCCTTATCCTACCTCGTTTTTTCCACCAAATCTGAAATTATGTAAATGTGTTGGTTTGAAACGATATACATGTATATACATTCGCCTATGCTTACGGTACAATGTGTTTTCCTTACACGCAAAATGGACGCGTAAATTCATCCCATGATATTCTTAGTCCAACCGGATCATTGTGAAGCAAATGACATATGTTTTGACGCATTCTATGTGATATGAATGTATACTAGTATACAGTACAGAGAGCTCACATCCTTGTAAATGGGTACAATAGGCCCTCAGCAACCCATGCTTGCCGTAAAAGACGGCTATGCTTGTCGTAAGAGGCGACTAACGGGATCAGGTGGTCAGGCTCGCTGACTTGGTTGATGCATGTGGCCTCCATCCTCGTTTATCCAGTGTATCAAATCGCCAAATCGCCATTCTGTTATGATTAATAACGTAATTGAATGGAGATGTAATTCACTAGATAATCGAGAATGCGGCGGTATGGCTTTAAATAGGTATCGATCAGGTCAGAACGACATTACGTGGCTACATTTCTTGGCCCTCTGAAGACGTGTTTACGCATATCTAGGGTAAACAAAACGCCACACTCAAAATATATTCCCCCGAAACTCCTAAATTTTTATTAGGAATGTGTGCACTGTTAATCTTCTGGCGCCTTACAAGCAGCTTTGGTACTATACTCCTCAGGGAGTTGAGAATGACCGGGGATATAATCAAGCACTTTGAGCATGATTTAGGGTGTGAATTTGGAGCATTATGAATACATGGATATCATTATTATTATTATTATAATTACTATTATTATTGGTAATCAGGTTGTGGATTTGAAATTTGATTATTTCAATTTTCATGTAAACATCAATGAAAAACTAACGGGGTTCTTCTTAAATAGGGCAAGGTCGAGGATGTACGTGTGTGTATGTGTGTGCGCGCGCGTGTGTCAGGCAGAGTGTGTGTGTGTGTGTGGTGCCCCTAGACAATCCCACTATGATAATGAAGCACATAACACAGTTACCCCTTCCACAGTCTATTCACCCAAGTCGGTCAGTGTGTGAGGCCAGAGTGTGTCAAGAAATGTTCCATTGTAAATAACCGCTGTATTGATATACATATTGCGTTATTCACCAGCATACAGCACCGTGACATCAGCGGAATACCGAGCACCTGGTTTAACCCCAACTCAACCGTCACCACAGACAGGGTAGACCAGGGCCCTTGCCTCCCTTAGGCGTGCCAGAATCCCATGATCGTGGGCTCGAATCCCAGATACGCCCTGATTACCTCTCTATGTTCATTAGCACCATGCCGGTGTTCGTGGGTTTCACCTCCAAGACCCACTCACTTCCGGTTTTCCTCCCACGTTACCCTGATACTCAGTGATATAACTGACATACTGTTCAAAACGGCGTTAAACCAAACTCCCTCACGTACTCAAGTCGGGCTTTAGCCCAGTTGGAGTATTTGTATATGTTGGTGTTAATATTTTTACTGTGTGTTGTGCTTTAAGTTATTGATACCGTGTGATACTGCTTAACATATGCATTATATCCTATGACTTGTTTTTAATGATTTTACAGATGTTATTTCTATTTACATATTGGAGAACGAAATATAATCTACGTTTGTTAACTCAGGGTTGATGCGAGTAGCATACATTTATATATACTGGTGTGTGCTCGCATGTCATGCGGTGTTCAAGATGACATTGATCTCTGGTCATAAATGTGTGAAATCAAACTCTGGAGTTGGTTTTGAGTTTATTATTCTGCACAGAATGCAAAGCGACCCTGACTCTTCACTATGTCGCCATATGTCAGTTCAAGAAGCCATCAACCTATACCCAAAGGCCGGAGGATCGAACGTAAGTCGTGACCTACATACGTCACAATGTTATTCAATTTTTGCACACGACATGAGCGTTATATATTGTTTATAAACACCTCGCGCAAGGACCTATGGGTAGAAAACACCCATGAATGACGTTCGCTCGTCACGCCGAAGACCCGGGTTTGATTCCCGACATGGGTACAATGTATGAAGCCCATTTCTGGTGTCCCCCGCTGGAATATTGCTAAAAACGGCGTAAAACCATACTCACCCACTCACCCATGAATGAACGCTCGTTGGCTACCGTTAGCGGGAAGAGACCTACCTCTGTGTGTACACGTGGAAGTATGCGTGGGGATCAACCTACCGTATTACCTCATCACAAAGACCGGGATTTGTTGGAGATCCGGCGTTTGATATTTCCGGTCCTGCAATACCCCTACATTTACACATATAGCTATAGACTGGTGTTATTCAGCAATAAGATATGCGAATGTAACCCACTTACATGGCTTCTGGGGCGGCTATGATTGTCGCAAGAGGCGACTAACGGGATCGGGTGGTCAGCCTCGCTGACTTGGTTGATGCATGTCATCGTATCCCAACTACGTGGATCGATGCTCATGATGTCAATCTCTGGATTGTCTGGTCCAGACTCGTTTATTTACAGACCGCCGTCTTAGAGCTGGAATATTGCTGAGTGCGGCGTTAAACAGCACACAAAGATAACAAGATGTGTGCTTTGAGAAAGTGGTTAATGTCAGTTTAAATATATACTGTTCCCTGAAACGTGCATACCTTACTGTCCCATCACACAATGTGACATCCTACATACATCTCAATGTACATATTTATGTATACTACTCAAAAAAGTTCAAGAATACCCGATTTGTTTCACATGACAACGGCGTTAAACAACAAACAAAAATACATGGCTTCTGACCTGACGGTACTTCCGATATTTATAGGTATCAGTCCAAATTAATGATAGTGAACTGTTTAAACGTATCGTATGATATAACGTTGTTGGAATACCACCATGTGTAGCGCTTTGAATTTGTAATCGTGGCTGTTGGCCAGGGCACTCCATCAGTACAGTTCTCTCAATGTGTACAGGTCCTATCTTCAATGATGCAACTGTATGGAGCTCATGTTTTCTCGAAGTGGGACTGATCGATGTGGAAATTTCAGAGAATCGGGGCTTCGATATAGACAAACATACATACAGAGAGACAGACAGACTGATAGCTGCCATCGAGAGACAAGAGGGTAGGATACGGCGATGCCTCCGCGATACCGGAATGAGTGAGTGAGTACGGTTTTACGCCGCTTTTAGCAATATTCCAGCAACATCACGGCGGGGGACACCAGAAATGGGCTTCACACATTGTACCCATGTCGGGAATCGAACCCGGGTCTTCAGCGTGACGAGCGAACGCTTTAACCACTAGGCTACCCGGCCGCCCTGATACCGGAATGAACTGTATTAAGGTGATCGGACAGCAGAACGAGTGGGCGAGATGTTTTACGCCGCACTTAGCAATACTAGTGGGCTTCACACACTGTACCCATGTGGGGAATCAAACCCGGGTCTTCGGCATGACAACGAAGGTTTAAACCACTAAGCTACCCCACAGCCCCTCCAGAAACGAATGGACACTATATGATACCTATATATTGTGTAGCAGGGCGTGGAGTCATCCCACAGATGACATCCTTACCTTGTCTGCTTGCTGACGGGGCTAACCTCTTTGGTCATGTGGACAAGGCGTCCGACCTCTGATCAGAAGGTCCGTGGTTCGAATCCCATCACGGGACTCGGAAATTTTATGGCCGCTACAATTGTATTATTATATTACACGCTACGATATCTATCAACCATTAAAAAAGTACGTCTCGATTATCAACAACATTTAGATGTGCCGTGGTTTTCTTTTTGGTCGCCATAATCAATTGAAACGGCAGTTTTGTACAGCTACTTCTAACCAGTTGGGTCAAACGAGGGCTTCTTTTCGAGCAGAGACTAGATCTCGCTGATAACTAATAACTCAATACTGCTGACGTCACGCACGCAATCCTCACGTGGCATGCATACATATTACCTTACACGACCTCAGCATTTGGGTACACTTAAATTGCAATAGACCGAATCATTACCTGCACGTGTCTCAGTTGACTGAAAGATCCCTTTTCAGCGCCAATAACCGATCTAGTGTTGAGATTCGTATCTTAATCTACAGTTGTCCAAAACGTCTATTGATGAAGATTTAGATATGATTACCTGGCGAGAGCAAGTGGAGACGAATACCCAAGTTCCTCCTATTTCCGCCTTGTTGTCCGGGCACACAGTCGTCTCAGCAGACAAATCATACCTGCTGCAAAAATACACTGTTCATGACGGTCTGAGTCCCCAAGGGTATCCTGCGCTACCTAAAAGGCATCAGTCACAATGCAAATAATAAAATATTCACATTTAAAACAATAATAAAACAATACAATATGTAATTTATATATCAAATGTACCCCCCCCCCCAAAAAAAAAAAACAAACCCAAAAAACCCCAAAACCCCAAAATAAATAAATAAACAGCAACAAAAAACAAACAAAACAAAAACGAAAGAAAAGAAAAAAAGCGCCACTCAATCGTATTAATAATAGAACCTCGAAGACCAACGCTAAGAAGATCCTGGCACTGATCCAGAGCTTTATCCGGCTAATCCAAGGACTGTGATTGTCTGAATATGAAGGCAACTTAGAGAGTTTATCGGCTGGCCATAACAACTATATTCATAAGGGTAGAGGGAGTAAAGGTTATAACACATTATAGTTAACCCCTAGCGCCACAAACTGCAGCCTGTGTTATTGTAGATGTTTCTCACACTTGTTATATACTGATAACCAAAAGTTGAGCGTAGGGGGATTTTTCTTCGCCACAAATATTCAATTTCAAATTTTACAAAGTTTTGTTGCAGCCTCGGTGACTGAGTGGGTAAGATCGCTAACTTTGTGTGCTGGCGATTAGATGCCTCACTCTGGCAGTGTGGGTTCGAATGCCGGATGGGACTCAATCCCCAAAGTACTAGAATCTGTACTTTACTAAGAAAGTGTTGTCCCAAATATAACGTTTGTTACATTTGACCACTTTATAAATGGCATTTTGTGTTCACAAAGTTAAAGCTAATTATTCATAAATTAAACAATGACCAGTACTGAATGGAACATTGTATCAGATCACCATGTGACAGAAAGAATGTCAGCTTGAAAGAGCATTATTTGGTAGTGTTTTCACATCCAGTAAATCACTCACAACGCTACCTTTTTCGTTCTGTAATCTGGCAATTTGGTAGTGATTGAACAGTGTTTCACCAAGTGGTTGGTCACTGTTTCGGCCAAATGAGTGAGTTAGTATGTCGATTGCCCTTTGGGTGTCAGACAAGGCTGTGTACTTAGCCCGTTCTTGTTCCAGTTCTTCATAAATGAAAACGTTCCGGAGATGGAAGAGGAGTGTCCGTTTGGTGTACAGCTCCATCCAGACATTGTCCACATCCCTTTACTTCTATTTGCAGATAATTTGATACTCGTTGGTGATAGTTTTTCTAACCTCCAAGAGAAATTAAGCATCCTTGAGATTTTGTGTAACACTCGGAAAATGTCAGTTAATATGTCTAAGACCAAAGTTGTTGTATTTAAAAATTGGTGGTTGTTTGTCACGTTTCGATAAGTTGTTTTACAAAGAGAAAAGGGTTGAAGTTGTTTGCGGTTATACTTACCTGGGTTTGTATTTTAATAATAGGCTTAACTGGTCTAAAACTCTTGATAAGATGGCATGCAGGCGAAAAGGGTATGGATAACTATCCTGAGAGGTATACATTCACTACAACCTTTTTCACCAGATTTCTACTTTCAAAGTTTCGGTGCGAAGATCATGCCAGTGCTTCTGTATGGTGCCGAGGTCTGGGGGTTTGAAAATGTTGAAAAATTTGAAACTGTGCAGTTATTATGCTTGTAAACGGTTTTGGGGATTAAAATTATCTGCTTCAAATAATGCTGTAGTAGGCGCGTGTGGCAAATACCCTGTTCGTGTATATGCTTTGATCAGATGTGTCACATATTGGCTGAACATACTAAAGATGCCAGACTTCCGTTTACCCAGAAAGTGCCACAATATGTTGTGCCTGTATGATGAACATGGTCGTGTCAATTGGGTAACTAAATTAAGGAACTGTCTTTGTAAACTTGGGTTTGGAGATATATGGATGTTTCAAATGTATGGAAACCGAAAGGTTTTTCTTAATATGTTTCAACAACGTCGAAAAGACAACTTTCAGCAGATCTGGCATAGCGAACTTCTTGCAAGTTCAAAAATGTCATATTGGGCGGGATGTACACATCTTACACATCCCGCCCAATCAACACCAGAATGAAAGAGCACAAAACCTCCACCATTAAATCCGACAGCAAATGAGCCATCTCGGACCATATCAGCAACTGTCCCAATCACAACATCAACTGGGACAACGTCCAAATCCTCGCCAACAACCTCCATGATTTCACTAAAAGAAAACTCACAGAAGCAGTCCACATTCGCTGCCACAAGCCATCAATCAACAGAGATCAAGGCTATTTCATCCCATATCCCACTCATTTATGCAATTGTTGTTACTGTTAATCCTCTACTGTTAATCCTCCACCTACTATATATCTTCTGTACAATGTCCCTCATTCAGACTTGCTTGACAACGGTTTAAGGATCTATACCGAAACGTCCCTTTTCACAGTATTAAAGAAGTTGTTATCCATCAAATTGTGTCTACCTTGTTATCATAGTTTGGTTTGGTTTGGTTTTGGTTTAACACCGCATTTAGCAATATTCCAGCTATATGACGGCAGTCTGTAAATAATCGAGTCTGGACCAGACAATACAGTGATTGACATCATGACTATCGATCCACGCAATTTGGATACGATGACATGCATCAACCAAGTCAGCGAGCCTGACCACCGATCCCGTTAGTTGCCTCTTACAAGCATAGCAGCATTTTACGGCAAGCATGGGTTGCTGAAGACCTTCTCTTCTTCAGGAGTCCCTTATCATAGTACTCACACTCTTTGCGAATATGCAGTATATGCATGCATACTGGTTCGAATCCACATGGAGCATTATCAGCCCAAGGAGTGAGTGAGTGAGTCAGTTGGAGGTTAAATGGGTATTTCAGTTACACCAGGGCATGTCTGCTTGATGTGGGAGGAATATGGGGGGAATGTGGAAAGTGATCAGGTCTGATGCTTATCACTTTGGTGAAACCTATAAATATAATCAGAGCTAACCAGATTCATAGGTTTCTGGTATTTCCTGGGGATGCAACTCTGTGAATTTCAGTGCCTTAGACAACTGGGCCACCCGTGGCCCCCCTCCCCCCAGCCAAACTGCATACCATGGGTACTGGTGCAGGTACAAACCAGACCTATCACCATATGCATTACCAAGTAGGATTCAAGGTGAACAACCTAGGTCTGTAGTACCAGGCAACTTAACGTATCAGGTGACTGGTTGAATGGTGTGGGTTGTGGTTCTTAATATCAACCACTGTTTTGTCTGGTTATGTCCGTTATTTACAGACCTCCATCATTTCAGCCAAAATATGAGACATGTTGTAAGGGCACCCATGTAATCATAGGATGTATATCACAAATAATATAATTCTTCATATGTTGGTATTCAGTCAGGAGGGCTAATGTATGTGAGTGAGTGAGTGAGTGAGTGAGTGAGTGAGTGGGTGAGTGGGTGGGTGGTTTGTTGTTTAACGCCGCACTCAGCAATATTCCAGCTATATGACGGCGGTCTGTAAATAATCGAGTCAGGACCAGACAATCCAGTTATTGATATCATGAGCATCGATCCACGCAATTGGGCTCGATGACATGCATCAACCAAGTCAGCGAGCCTGACCGACCGATCCCCTTAGTCGCCTTTTACGACAAGCATAGACACCTTTTTACGGCAAGCGTGGTGAGTGAGTGAGTGAGTGAGTGAGGGAGGGAGGGAGGGAGGGAGGGAGGGAGGTTTTACACAGCACTATTCCAGAAATATCACTGCTTGGAACACCACTAATGAACTTCACACATTTTACCCATGTGGGGAATTGAACCTGGCCTTCGGTGTGACAAGTGGCAACCCCAAAGAACAGGCATAAACAGGCATAAACATTATACAACACAGATACAAAACATTTTATAAAATATTTATTCAAAATAAATACAGTAGTTTGTGATATTACATGGCACTACCCCTTATCACTACTATGTCCTCCATCTTTTGTTCCATCGTCTGTAACGACACAATCTTTCTGAACACCGGATACAGCGGTGTTTGTCTCTGTATTCCTATGGGACAGCTCTGGTGAAACACCACCATGACTACTAGTGTCGGCCATTTTATCCACCTTGGCTGAATCTGACAGACTTTCTAATTCACCTTCATCGTTGCTTTTAATCTGTAGGTTCTTAACATCTGGAATCTTCTCCTCTGTGTCACTCTCCTTTTCTTCTCCATTCTCTTCATCTAATTCTGTCCCCTCCCCTTCACCTTCACCTTCTCCAGCTTCATCTTCTCCGTCTTCATCTTCTCCCTCTTCTTCCTCTTCATCGTCAGTTTCTTCTTCATCCGAGCTGGAAACAGGAACACTTACAGAGGTGTCAAACTGTTTCTTTAAATAAGGTGAGATACTGGCTTTAAACTCTATTTGTTCAGCAGTTTCACGGTTTCATAAATTTTCGCAAAACCACAAAAAAAGACAATAAACAGTTGAACAGTAATTTGTCATGTACACAAAATTACATTTTGTATATCCTACAAATGCATTGAGATTGTAATCTTGGGTACCGTATATATAATGGTAGCAAATAAATATTACATGTTATTCCACTGCAGACATGTTTTTACAACGTATCAGACAACGTGACAGACATCGATGCTCACCTGTATCCTGGAGGGAGGTCAGAGCCTCTGTTTGGATTGCACATATCTACATCCATGTCAATATCCGTGAAATCTGAAATATACAAACATCCCGCTAAGGCTGTTCATCATCCAGTGATATCCATCCCACACAGACTGAGAACTGTCTATTAATAGTTTGTTATCCCTTGAACAAAACTTTCATCCACCTATGCATCCGGCTTTTGACAATATTCTTATGAAGTATACAATAAAGTAATAATTCAACATAAAATCAGTTAGCTGGTTCCTTGCATTTTGTGTCAATATTGATGACTTTTATTTCCGTTCCTAGTTTCAAATTATTCATGACTCACAAATGCATCACAAGTTACACTGTACTTATATCTGACCATCCTCTATTATACAGGATGTTATATTTCTCCATTCCACGAGAAATACCCTGGACCCATTCACAACCATAGCTTCGTTTTGAGTTCAGTTCCAGTGACACAACAAAAAAACGGACACCCAAACAAACAACACAATATCACCAGTCTTTGTCATGTAGCATAAAGTCTTCCTCCCCACTGCCTTACCTCTCACAAAAACATCTGTCGAGCTAAAACTTAATTAATAACAGACTTCTGGCTCGCACAGTAGAGGTCATGATTTTGAATGTAGATCCTAGCCAAGCTATGGTCATGATTGGGTCCAGGGTATAATTATATCATTATAGAAGGGAGATAATCGAGGAGGATATCTGACTTCCACTCTTACCTGTGTCTTTCCTTGAGAGTTTTTCCTCTGCAATTTCTGCCAGATAATCTTGCTGGACTTGCACAATCTCGGCACTGGTTTTACAGGCGACGTATCTCTCCAACAGAGCTTTGTTCACCTTGTAGAAGTTACTTCCCCACTTGAACTTGGACAAGAGAATTGTTCCTAGTTCCTTAAATCCTGAAACGTGGAATTTAACCAGATCCTGCAATTATTCTAACAAATAGTCATGGTAGATACTTTTGAAATAATTACAGTTTTTCTCATTCACAATCGGCAATTTACATGACATAACTTTAAAACTGAAGTTAGTTTCAATATGAATTACAATAAAAACATCCCTAGTGTTTCCTGTGGCCATCATCCCTGGCATGTATGAACATGCCAAGAGTTACTTCCCTTAGAACGTACACCAAAGCAATGAAACGTGTTTACATGAACTAGAGTCCTCCTTCTTTAGCAATGTAAAATGTAAAGTAAGACGGTATCCCGTAAGTAAATAGTGGGATGAATATGGTGTAAAGTTTTAGAACAAGGATATAGCACACACATTAACTGTGAGGCATCACTGGGGCTGTATACCTGAGAATGCCTGCTGAGTTCAGGCAGATAGTCCCCAGTATCCAATGCTTGTCATATTTGTGAGTGAGTGAGTTTGGTTTTAACACCTCTTTGAACAGTATTTCAGTCATATCATGGTGTGTCAGCTTGATGTGGGAGGAAAGCCTAGTGATACAGCTCTTAAGATGCTTACCATATTGGTGAAACCCTCGAGCATGGGTATAATATTGTCATATAGGAACATAATCACCAGGAGTCTGGCATAGGTACCCACGATCACAGGTCCTTCTGTGCCAATTTACGAAGCGATCTTAGCACAAAGGTGAACATAACTCCCATACCTAAAAAGACTTACGACAGTTGTAGCGCCAACGTTGTTGTTTACAACGGCTCCCTGGTGTTCCACAGGGACAGAATTGCTTGTCATAATAATCATCTACCTGTTGGGATAGAGCTGTAACAATGTGTCACCTAGTCCACCGGGGATAATCAGATCTGTATGGACACTGTTGTTTGTGCTATAAACTAAAGGTTTATCTGATCCAGACATGATATTCACCATTACTATACATGCTGCCAGGATATACATGACTGCAGAATATAACACTCATTCACTCACTCACTCCTACCTGTGAGATAGAAAGCAGCTGCATATGCCTCTACACAAGACAGTTTGCATGGACGGCCATAGTTGACCGGGTTGGTAGCTATGAGATAGGGCAGCAGACGAGGGTGACCGGCCTTCATCTTGGAAAAGGGAGTGTCCTCCAATCTAGCCCAGGAACAGTCTACCACAGCCAAGCCGCTCTGCGCAATGATGTCACTGTAACCGAAAACCAAGAGATCATAAATATTTTTGAGAACTACAGTTATATGGATGAATGGTTTGTTTGTTGTTTATTGCCACACTCCGCAATATTCCAGCTATAAGATTGCAACCTGTAAATAATCACATCTGGACCAGGCAATCCAGTGATTGACATTGCTGTGGTATGATGACACACATTCCATCAAGTGACTGAGCCTAACTACCGGTCCATTAAGTCACCTGACTCACCTCTGACAACCAGCATAGGTTGCCCCGGACCAATCCTAACCTGGAATTCCTACTGGAGTCATATGGATGAATAGATGATAAGGTCTACTAGTTCACAGTTAATACGGTCCATCTATGTGAAGACAACATCTTCCACATCGGCAAATATACAGTGAAGTCTCATTAATCCGACAATCGGCTTTATCCATCACTAATGATGGGAACCAATTAAATCAGTGTAATTTGGACCCTTGACTCAGACAGCCTAGCACTCCAACTCCGACACACCTAATTTGCAACAAATTACCGAAATCACTCATTAATCAGTCTTGTTAATATTTCTTCATGACTATCAATTAGATTATGTACCAGGAAAAAGAACCACCTTACAATGGTCCCATCACAACATAATATTTCAATGTTCTTGACTGAAACATGTAAACAATACACACCACTTACCTATCTTCTGGGGAGACACATCTCGTACCAACTGGTGTAAGCACTATTCCATCAAAGCGCTGCTGAAGTCTCAGTGTGCGGACATAGCCAAGTCGTCCTAGCTTCCTGCCCGAGCATTTCTTGGGGTCACACTGCTCCAAGTCCCACATTGCCAGGGGACACGGGAATTTGGCCTGAGCAGTGTCTGTAAGATGAACATGACATGATTCATGGACAAATTGCTAAAATAATAGTTAAAAGTTAGCAAAATTCTAAACGGAATTTCACATCTTTGCATACATGGTATAGTTTGCAATACAGTCCAGCTTGATGCCAAGATATATGAAGAAATATCCTTATTCAATAAAGAACACATCATCCCTTATCATTTTTTAAATATCAAGAATGAGCTGAATTTGTGATAATTCTTCACAATCTAATGTCCAGTTAAATGCATAATCTAAGTTCGTTGTCATTATGATAACGATTATGATCAAAGAATTATGAGAGTCTACAACACTCTTAATAAGAGTCTACAACACATGATCATTATCAGAAATCATGGCACCAATATTATTTAGCTGCATATTTGTTTGCAAACATTTTATTCACATAAATCACAAGATTTTTCATGTTAATAAATCCTATACTTATAAATCTATAAGTATTACCATCAACAGCAGCTTGAAGATTTTCGGAAAATCTTTCTGGGTCAAATTTTGAAGTTCTGTTTTTCCGATGATCATTTTTATAGTGGTGATGACTACCTCCCTTGCCTTGCTTCCCATGTGGTTTATCCTGCTTGTGACCTTTGCTCTTACCCATGATGACTTTTATATAACCTTCAAAATAAACGCATGAAAAACCAAGATAAACAAAAAAGTGACAAAACAGTATTTCCGGAGAATAAAAGTAATATGTAACGTTACATAAAATCCATGTGATATAAACTCACTGTGCACTCAATAACGGTACAGAGGGCCATGCAGAGTATGTGTGCTTAATTCTCAGCACAGGTACTACAGAGAGTATACCCTGCATACACAAAATAAACACCAAAATCAGAAATGTACCCTGGCATGCTAATTTTGTGGGGGATTAGACAAACAGCACAATTGTGTCATACTGCTAATGCAACTCAGTTTATGTCACCGTCAAAATGAAACTGGTTGTTATGCAATAATGCATTGTGAAAATATTTGTTTACAGGAAGGTACCAGTGATACATTCTGGAGTACGTGTACCAATAACGACCCTAACCGGCTCTGATAATAGCATAGAATAGCAAGAGCGAGCAAGAATAGCATAGGTTCTTTAACCTAAAATCTTTCAGCGGGAATATGAATAAACATTTTGGTTTAGAATGAGGGTCTGTCATGTCATGCATGGTCTGTCTAAATTATGTTTACCCAGTGTAACTAGATTCCTCCTTGTCAATTTCCTGTTATCATCTGCTTATGTTGTTAAATATCGTAGATATGTGACAAACAAACGCTAAAGAGGGCCACTGTTGTTGTGCAATGTGATCAGTGGTTGATAAAAAATATGATCACATTTCAACACTATGCAACATCGTGTTTGGGCAACATGGGCGCCGCCATCTTTACGTCACGTGACAAAACATTACCTGAAAGATAACAAAAATACAAACTAGGTTGAAATTTAACGTGTCATGCATATGTATATATTCTTCAGATAAAATCAATTGTAAATATACACTACAACATGATTGTTAGGGTTTACTCATAGATCTCGTAAAATATCGTTTAGTCGTGATGAAAACAAACGACGAATTCTGAATTTTCCGTACAGGGGTGATAGGATTCACATAAACATGGAAATCAGTAGTTATTACCTCTATGAATGAAGTTGAGAGTTTAGAAATTGGCCACATGACTGACTGAACACGGTCGAAGCAATGGGGCTTAGATTTGTTGTGACGTTAATGTTTATTTTATCCTTTGTTAAAAAAGGTATTTATAATGTTCATTATTCCAACTTTGCTATCTGGCAAAACTCCGTCTCGGTGCAATTATTGTCACGTGGATTACTGAGTACTTTGATTATGCTTGTTGTTGTGATTGTGTTTGTGATGCTGGCTTACTTTAAGTTTAACCATGTGTAAACACACACGCACGCACACAAACACACACTTGAAATTTCACTTCCCCTCAGCTCTGCTGTGAGATAGCAGTATATACCGCTTACCGAATTTAAACACCATGTACACACTCTGGGAAAGCAGATAATAGTAATATGTTAAAAGGGTTTTGTGCAAAAGGTTACTCACTTTCTAAGTATCCACTTTAACCTTTCAAGTTTTGGTTGTTTCATAATTTTAATTCCCATGGTTACAATGATATTTCTTCCTTACCAGATGTCTTCGGTAATATGGTCAGTATGAAGATAGTCGATGAACCCTCAAGCTATGGGTGAGTACCAGAACTACAATGTTGTATTTGACTTTTTGACGAAGTATTAGTGTTAATGTGCTGTATTAATAATTGCATCATTCTTCAAGTGACATTCAGTGACAACCATCCCCAAGCCCCATGTTGTTAATTGCTATTTGACCCGTGAAGATCCGGGATAGAATAGGTCTTCAGCAACCCATGCTTGCCGTAAAAAGTGGTTATCATGTCGTAAGAGGCGCCTAACGGGATCAGGTGGTCAGGCTCTATGACTTGGTTGATGCATGTCATTGTATCCAAATTGCGTGGATTGATGCTCATGATGTCAATCACTGGATTGTCTGGTCCAGACTCGATTATTCAAAGACTGACGTCATATAGCTGGAATATTTCTGAGTCAGCGTTAAACAACAAACAAACAACAGACAAACCATGGCTAGTGACATGTACTGTATTATCTACCCTTCCCTTTTCACAGTTTAAGCAACAGTTTTGGTGGCCTGTACCAGTCCCAGGAAGACAAGCTGCAGATGAGGGTTCATCCAGCCAACTTCTCGGGGCCTGCTCATCTCAAGAGGCTGGTGGGGAAGTGCTTCAGTCTGGTGGACAACAGGTCAGTTCTCACATCCTGTACATTGATAGCATTGGTCATGTCTTTGAGCATGAACCCACCACCTCTTCATGTATTTTGGATCTCAATTTTAAATCTAAACACCAGTTTGAAAAAAATCTCTTTGTGATCAATGAGCTTTGAATGTAGCTCACCTGGACCAGCCTAGATGGCAGCCAAGTCGCCCAGTAACAGCTGTCATAAATTAGACAATTAGCGCCTTATTAGTTATTCTTTTTTTATTGTTTGGTATATATCAACGGGAGGTCAGTGGTAATTTAGTCTAATGCCCAGTTACATAGATAGAGACTTCAGCATTATCATGATGATTTATGTTTAATAACTTGGCACCAAATTGTTTTCATGACAAAGAAATTTATTTCATACACTTCTCAAGTATGTCAGCTGTGATTTAGACCTGTCATTACAGTCCTATGATGTCTGTTGGACTATTGTAATTTTGTGGAAGTTGAGTCACCTCATTGTCAGCCACAGCCACTGTCCATGCAGTCATGGCAACAATTGTTGTCTTAAGGCCACAGTTTCCGTTCTGTACATTTCCTTGTGTCTGTTTCCAGCTATAAGTATGAGTTCTGTCCCTTCTACAACGTGACCCAGCATGAGCAGAGCCTGAGATGGAATCCATACAGTGGAGTTCTGGGGTAAGCTGTGATGTGGAGCTTACACCAGTGCACAGTACTGGCATGGGAAATGTTCTACAGTATCATACCATATTAGTCATGCCCTGTTCCAATAAACACCCCCTGACTAACTTCTAGACCAATCTGTAAGTAATCTTTAGAGTATCACCTGCAAAGACCAAAAAGATACAAGACAGTCTTTATTTCTTCAGTATATTACAGGTTATTTTTTATAGAAGACTGTGCAGAAGGGGTATATAATTATATAATTGCTTTGTAACTGTTATCTAAAATGTTTTTGTGTCATCAACATTTGAATCTCTGAAAACAGATTTAGCTTGTTGAGTATGGTTTTAATAAGCGCTGTGTTGCTAAGCAACCTGAAATAATGCCGATGTGACGTTAAATTTTAAATCACTCTAAGCAACCTGGGCACTTATTATGACAAATATGGTGTTTAGTATTCAAATCATTGACAATATAGACCTGGTAAATGTGTGTCTTGTTTGCAGTGTTGACATGATTCGTTTAATATAAATTTACAAGTTTACATGCAGTTGTTTAGGACTTGTAAACAGGATCGAATTACCTGTATGTACATGAATCTCCTGTTCACAGTACTTGTTCTTCAAGTGTACAGAAGCTTTGCATCAATGATGATTACAATATAGGGTGGTACAATACATGTAGCTAATTGTTTTGTATGTTATATCATGTGATAGGAGTGAGTTACAAGTTTAAATGTCATTTCCACAACGATGTGCTTTAAATCAAATTCAGTAAAGGGTGAAAAAAGATACTTTTTCTGATTTATCAATAAGAAATAAAGTGAGATTTAACTAAGTTTAAGCAGTGAAATAAATAAATATTTAACCCAAAACTAAGTCTAAGAAAAAATGCCTCTGGTAAGAAAGGCATTGCAGTTGTGTGAGTCCATGAAGTGTTGATGATATTTGTTTGTTTGACTGACAGAGGGTATCAGGAGTGGGAGATCGAGAACAACACATTCCACGCCATGGTGATGAGGGAGGGCGATGCATGTGGGGAAATATTCAGATCAGTGAAGGTTAGTGTCACGTGCCACACAGGGGACGGAAGGAACTCTGTGATGTATGACCATGTTATTGTCCGTCCCCAGTTACAGTAGGCTCACATGACACATCACTAGTGTAACTCTGCTCACATCTCTCTCATAGATTCTAGACAAGAAATAACATCCTGACTTGCGGACAACTTTTAGAACTAAAGAATTCAAGGTCACATGCCCATAGAAGACTGTAATAGTCGATACAGGACACCTATCAATATGTTCAAGTAGAACGTTCATTCATGAACTGTTACAGTGTTTATGTGATGGAACATGTTGCATGTTATTCTCATGATTCCTAGAGTGACACCTGGTGAACTACTTTGGCGACATTTTTTTTATTTCTTGGTTTACGGATGCGCTACTCTTTCAAGGTCCAAATGCGAAAAAACATAAAAATACATATTACTCCTTTTTTTGATACCGCCAATCTTTACTTTAAGAAATGCATATAAAGGTTAAACAAAAAAGATTTTGTTTCCTTGTCGAGTGTAAAGCAAAGGGAAGTCACTCTAATATTTCTAGCTGGGATCCTTCTCTGATACCATCAGAGCTTGTCAATCCAAAGTGCAGTGGTGACCAGTTTAGTCATCGCCCATACTGCCAAAATGGCGGCGTCTTTCATGCATTTCACCATAACATGAACATTGTTATATTGCCATTTGTGCACAAGCTGTGTGCCAGGGATATAATAAAATGTACTTGAAAAATTGAGTTGTTTTTCTTTTGTTACTCCTGAATATTTTTTTTTATACCTACCTAACATTTTAGGATTTAAGTCGAGTAAAAAAAATCGAGGTTTTTTTTTTTTTTTTTTTAATTTGCCAGCTCACTTTTGAAATGAGTTTGAAATCCGTAAACCAAGAAATTAAAAAGAATGTCGCCATACTGGTGTTTGAAATGTTGAATTGCAATAAGCTCGCAATTCCTAACATAAGTTTTACAAATATATCCAATGTCTTCCCCTGCTTGTTGTCAGGTGTTCTTCAGGTGCAGCAACCACAGCCACGTGACTAAAGTGTCCGAGCCTCACACCTGTCAGTATCACATGGACTTCCTGACCCCCCTGGTCTGCCACAACCACTCCATGCTGGTGTACCCCACCCTAGCGCGGGAACTGCAGGGGGAGTGGGACAGGGTTGAGGGGGAGCTTGTCAGGGAGGAAATTACTCAACAGGTAAGACGTGTTGGTATGCATCATGGTGCAGGAATATTGGGAATTCTTTGTCTAGAGTTCTGTCCCTTAGGCATGCCAGAAACCTGTGATTGTTAGTTTGAATCCCAGATTTGCCATGATTATGTTTGGAGGTTTGTCAGCACCATACCTAGGTTTCTACAGAGTGATAAATTGACTTAGGCCTTCATGCCTCAGCTCTTCCCTCCCCCATACTTCCACATCAAGCTGACACGCCGTGATGTAACTGAAATACTTCCACATCAAGCTGACATGCCGTGATATAACTGAAATACTCCCACATCAAAAGCTGACATGCCGTGATATAACTGAAATACTTCCATGTCAAGCTGACATGACGTGATATAACTGAAATACTTCCACATCAAGCTGACATGCCGTGATATAACTGAAATACTTCCACATCAAGCTGACACGCTGTGATATAACTGAAATACTTCCACATCAAGCTGACATGCTGTGATATAACTGAAATACTGTTCAAAGCAGCATTACTCCAAAACTTGATAACTCTAAGAATTTGGATGTTGAACATTTGAGCACAACACAATTTAGATCAATATGTTTGCTCTATCAGTCTATAGGTATTGTTGTTATTTTTTATGTTTCTAAAATAAGATATTTTTATTATGGTATTCATTGTGAATGGTCAATGGTGTGTCTGTTTCAGGGCTACAAGAAAAAGTTACGAAAAATATTTGAAGATGCTGGATATTATCTGTCAAAAGAAAAACATAAAATACTTTCCAAAGTACCAGAGATTAAAAAGGAAGAACCAGCTAAGCCTGTGGAGGAGCCAAAGGGAGAGTTCTCATCGATGCAAAAATGTACAGAGGTAAGTATGTATAACTTACACAACATGCTCTACGTTGACCAACTGTGACAGATTGCTGACCTGTGACATGACCGACAGATTGCTGACCTGTGACATGACAGACAGATTGCTGACCTGTGACATGACAGACAGATTGCTGACCTGTGACATGACAGACAGATTGCTGACCTGTGACATGACTGACAGGTTGCTGACCTGTGACATGGCTTACAGATTGCTGACCTGTGACGTGACTGACAGATGGCTGAAAGACTCTGTGAGACAAAGGTGTGACATTCTGTTTTACAGGAAGTCGCCAAGTTACGAGAGGAGCTTGCCCAGCTGAAGGAAGGGCTGCTAGTACGAGGGATCAAGGAGTTCGAGCTAAGTAATAAAAAAGGTGAGGTGGTCAAGGGAGGTGATACCACCAGCATATTCTGTGTGTAAGCAGAACTCAGATTCCTCAACATCACTAAGCTGTACCATTCCTCCAGCATTTCTATGTAGTAGACTAATTATCACATTGGTAATATCTCGTTTAATTCTGAACTCAAAACGGGGCATGTTTGTTTGTGTTACTGCTCCAGGACATACAGCTTGTTTCTCTGCAAGGAGCAGCCTAGGTGTTGTCCAGCATTTCTAAACGGGTTTTGTTAAAACCCAAGACATAATTACTCCTTTTCTGGAACAAAATTTAAAAAAAACAACAACCCCATTATAACTCTTTTCCTAAAACTAGACCCAACACATGATGTGCAGGTTGTTTGTGTTTGAGTGGGATGTGGAAACTATTTTTTGTTGAAGAAAGTTACAGATCAAATGTTTTGTTTCGATTCAGCTGAAAAATAACATGATGCAGTGTATGTTACCATGGTTACTGTGTAAGTATATCACGTGTTGTCAAGGTTGTTGTACAGTGTCCTTATTATCAATCTTCTTATTGATCTACCATTTAAACATTTATGTATCAGAAACATGTTTGCATCTGTTTGCTATGCAGTGTTCCTTATTAAGCATAACATGAAAGGGGTCCTGGTCTCTGATTTAGGGGTCCCTAGATTCCGGTAGTACAGGTGCAGGCTTCCAGGACCCCAGGACCCTTCTTCATGTGTAGGGGCGGTCGGGTAGCCTAGTGGTTAAAGCGTTCGCTCGTCACGCCGAAGACCCGGGTTCGATTCCCGACATGGGTACAATATGTGAAGCCCATTTCTGGTGTCCCCCACGTGATATTGCTGGAATATTGCTGAAAGCGGCGTAAAACCATACTCATTCACTCACTCACTCTTCATGTGTAACTCTCTATGCAGTCTGTAGTTCATGTGAGCTTTCATATACGTCATGTACCTCTCTGTGTTGGACATGGACTACCAAATAGAAGCTAAGAACATACCATGACAGATTAACTATAGTAATATGAAACAATCTGGTGTTCTTTAACATCTTTTGAGTAGTATATACGAGGCTTTGTATGGATGATTCTTTAGGGATGCTGCCATGGAGGCACTATTGGATACATCGCTTTTCGTACATATTGTGATGGTTAATATGCAGTTGTAAATATATAACAAAGGAAGTGTTTTCACTTTGGTCTTTGTTTATTTCATGACCTTTGATCCTCTTCTACTGAGTTGTGTACCCTAGAATCTATTCTCTGAAATCATAGGTTTGGAAGCTGAAATATTCAGTATTTAAATTTCAATCCTAGTAACACTGTCTCCAACATATTTTGACTAATCTGGTTTTGAACATTGGCCCAATTTACAACTTTTGAAAGAATTTCAATCCCGACTTCCAAACATCCAAATGAAACCATTCTGGTGAGGAACCTGTTTGATGCTATGTTACCATGGTTACCCCTTGTTCTGTTGTGCTTGTGTACGTGTCACACTGTAACCCTGTGTAATGATGTCGTATGTTAGATACATATATACATTCATCATACAATATTTGTATGTTGAGTAAATAATGAATGATTTTGTAGTTCATTTTCAATCACTTTCCTGTACACAGATTCTACACCAGTTTGTACACAGCAATGTTTCAGTAGTTTTAGTTTTGTTGTGATGTGTCTGTTACAACACAGTGTTGATGTATTGCTCCAAAATATTGTCATGGTATTTCTAATGGTGAATGTATTTGAGGAGTCATTATGCCATAACAATTTCATATCTCATGTGAAGTGTGTCTGTGTCAGATGCTGGGTGTGACCTTGACCTACAAAAGTGGGGATCTAGGGGATCCAGGGGATCCCAGGTATTAATTTTAAAGGTCCTTGCAAGCAGTATGATGGTCCTGTAAAGTAATGAAGTGGTGTTGTGTACTGTACATTTTGATAATTACTTTAGAGTCTGGAATTAATAGTAGTCATGATTTGTGGATGAAATAACAGACACTCCTAACTGCTCTTGATGTGCTGTAGGTACAATGACTATTACTGTGGGTCCTTTGGGACGTAGTATGTGTTTTCTCGGTGTCCAATCTCAACATTACTGCATACTGGACTCACATTTGTGTGTAACGTAAAACCCTGCAAAACATAACTGATTGAGTATTGAGATAACAGCGGCAGGGGACTTTTCTTGCAGCAATAATATAGGCACATTCAGATACATTACATTTTGTTTGTTGGTTGAAGCCTCACTCGGCGGCCTGCTTATACGATACATTGGATACTATGTGGATGAGGATGACAGGTGAAACTAGCTATGCAAGTCAATTGTTTAAATGTATGCCATGTTAGGTAACCATAGCAACACTACATCTCAATATTCAGGGGCCGTGTGGTAAGCTAGTGGTTAAAGCGTTTGCTTGTCATGCCGAAGACCGGGTTTGATTCCACACATGAGTACATTGTGTGAAGCATTTCTGGTTTCCCCTGCTATGATATTGCTGGAATATTGTTAAAAGCTGTGTAAAACCATACTCACTCACTCTCTCACTCACTTTTCAATATTCACAATTACTGTTATCATATTATTGACTTTAACACGTCAGTATTTCTGAATGTGTGTGTATGTATATAATACATAATTGTAGAAAAGAGTAATACTTTTTGTATGCAACATTAAGATGATAGCAGTGAAGGTTTACTGATACATTCCAGCTCTGTGTAGGGCATTTTTCAGTGGATTGTTGTTGGGATTGTGATGACAGCTTTAGTTGTATACTCCCCAGGGGGTTCAGAATAAAAAACCAACCTGAATGTACACTGACCCATTGACTGAGGTAATTGTAATAGTAACATGAGTAATGCAGTGCTTCAATGGTACATTGCCTATGGAGTTACATGCTGTACTATTGGATTATTATTATTATTATTGTTGATTGATGATGATGATGATGATGATGATGATGATTTATTATTATTATTATTATTATTATCTGTCAACAATGACAGTAGACCCAGACAACAAGCATGGCAGTGTAGCGGACTGCCTTATCTCTAGTTATTTTTGATGCCATTTCACCATGTTGGCCTTTGTTTTCATTTCCACATTGTTATTTCAGGATCACGGCTTCCGGCTTTGAGAGTCAATCCACCAATACAAGATCACCAAAATGTCACCGCAATACAGAATGGAACTGAAGAAAATAAACATGAATCGTTGTGATCTCAATTCATCAACATCATAATCATCATTTTCAATTGAAATCCACAGACATCCACGTGAAGCCGGTGTTGTTTATATGTGTTGTGTGACATCTGGAGAACAGTTCGTGTTGTTCCCATCTCCTACCCAGAGTTCCAAGTAGCCAGCCTGGTACCTCCGCCACAGACCAGAGACATGGGATGATCTGTCACATTTTACACAGTCCATTCAACTGAAGATACTGCATCTGTTTTTCATCGGTTTCATTTTTCACAAGTCTACACATTTAGATAAAGATATATCATAGCGTGGTTGACATTCATTGAGAAAATATCCTTAAACATGAAAAACTATTTGCATACTATCCTTTGTTTACATTGGTTGTACGTCTCCACGTGCTATCATCGAAGCGCTACTTCGATGTTTAAAGATACATTTCATGCAACTCACTGTTGCAGTTGTAGCAGCATATCTATATAATTATGCAAAACAATATCTAAAGTGCACTGAAAAGCTCCCATGAGGCCTGTACTGATTTCAGAATTAGCATGTTTGTTTACAAACAAGAAAGTCAAATTAGCCTGTGGCAATGGTGTAATGCTGTCATCACTGCACCCTTGTCATGGCAAGGAGCCAGTGGATGCATACAAGTTGGCCCATATTTTGAGAGGAACATGAAATTTGTCACGTTATTACATACAACTAAAAAGTTATGTAATGTGAAAGAATTGGGTAATTTTTTTTGCGTCATATATGTAGAATTGGTTTTGATTTGTTGCTAAGTTATTGTGTATTTTTCCTGTTATACTGACCTGTTGTCTGTCAGTAGAGCATCATGTGAGACCACTGTGGGAATTCCAGGTTAGAATAGGTCACCAGCTACCTATACATGATGCATAGGGTGGTATCATAACCCAGTGACGTGACGTTGCTCTTATTATCAGTCACTCAATTGTCTGGCCCAGACTCAATATATTTTGTTGTTTAACGCCACACTCAGCAATATTCCAGCTACATGACAGTGGTCTGTAAATAATCGAGTCTGGACCACAGATTCAGTGATTTACATCATGAGCATTGAGTTTGAGGCCAGTTTCCAGGTCAGGTATTGTGATTGTACATATTTTCAATGCAAAATCCTAATGATGTGTGGAAACTTGATTCTTTTCATGACCTTGTGATGACTCTACTTATAGTTGATAACCCTGTTAGGATGATTTTGCACCTTTAAGTCATGACTTTAATACATACAGCAGAATACATTCCAGTTTTTAATTATTAAATAGAATTTGAGTTTGGGGGGACAGTATTCTGCATTCATCAGGGCTGGATACCTGGTAATCCAGATTAATCAGGTTCCACTACTTGTACAGAGATGGGATATTCATATTACTGTGGGAATAAATATTTTGTTTACTGGGTTTCATCTAGTTCGGTTCTACTTTGATGTCTCAAGAGCGATGTCTCCAGATCCCTCTGATCATTATTGGGTATATCCTTGGTCACCAGTACACACCACTTGTCATACTAAGGTGATTATTTGGGGGCCTAGGATTTGTATGGAGACTAGATTTTTTTTCATCTACAGCTGCAAAACCAAATACATATTTTTAATTAAACCTATGAGACTAAGTATTTTTCTCTCAAAGGACACCTTGTAACTAGGTAATTTTTGTGGCAGATATTTCAAGCATTTTTGATTTTTGGGGACTATTTATTTTATTCCATAAAATTCCAGCTCCCCTGACCACACCCTAGAATATTAAAGGCTTGCCGCCTTGTTCTGTAGCTAATCTGCTGCATGCTTACTCATGCAGATCATGGATATGTATGAATATTTATCACACAACGCTGGAGCTGGAGAGGAGGTGGATGGGTGACTTAACCTTCTAGCGCCTCTTTAGGCAGCTTGGGTTGTATACTCGCTAGGGAACTTAAAACAATTGTCAAGTGAAGGCTGACACCATAATCAGGGATGTGGATTTGGCACATTATAAATATGGACATTTATTATTATCATTATCTGCAAAAGGAACTGTTAGTTTCCACAACTATAGAGTTAAGACACTTTTAGCCATATCATGGTGGGGAACATAGAAATGGGCTTCGTACATTGTATCCATGTGGGGAATCGAACCTGGGTCTTTGGCATGGTGAGTGAATGCTTTAACCACTAGGCTACCCAACCGCCCCTTTTCATTATGACAATTGATATCAAATGCTTGATGATGAGCATATGTTCACACTGAAGCAATCCTTAATGATGGTAATCCATGAATGAAAAGAAACACATTGAATTAGAATTGATTTTATGTTGTGAAAATATATTGTTAGACATGACATGTTTACAGATGATAAATCAAGAATGAATTGCGAGCACTAAGATCTGTTTTTAGTGAGACTGGATCTGGGGTAGCACACCCATACAAATACGGTCACATCCACACCAATTATTCACACGCCACTGCTTGAGAACCAGTTGTTTTGCACTAGTCAACCAAACAGCTCAAAGACTATCTGTGTGCCAATCCCTGCTTCTGATCATCAACATACAGAGATATTAGATACGGACATTGTGAAGCCATAAGATAATTTTATAACCAGCTTACCAGATGACCGCTGACCTCAAGTTTACACATTCATATTTGAAACAATGCAAAAATATGTAAACGGAAAATGAAATACTTAGGCCATTTAAGAAATTGATCCCACTTGATAAATTGTTGAGCTTTTGCATCTTTTTGAAAATTTGACAATCAGATGAAACGGATCTAATAAATATGCAAATATATTTGAATTCATCGATAAACAAAAACTGTTCCAATCAGTGTGGTTAATTTATACAGAGATTACAAATATCAGCCAGTCAGGTGTCACCTCATTTACTATGCCTAACAAACATATCCTGCTCAATCATGCTAGGAAGAGTTTTTTGGTGTGAGAAAAGTCTTTTTGGAATGACAAAGACTACTGCTATTTGTTGCTTTGGAATACCTAGTTTCAATCCTACCAGAAGGTGAAAATGGAGCAGGTTTGGAGACGACATCTATCCTGTAACGGTGGTCATCAAGCACCCATTCCAAGAGCTGCTCAATCCGGGATTAATGAGCTGTAAATTATTGTGCTCATTTTGGTACCTCAGGGTTTTCTACACACATACCAACTGGTAGTAACACCAGTGACCTGTGATGACAGGGAATTCCATTGTTCATTGTAAGGTCACATGTTACTTTAGTTCTTCAAGCCCTTGGGTATTGCTTGATGGCTTCCTTTTACTGAGCTGCCTTCTGGGAGCCTTTAAAGGTTTCCACTTGGATGGACTGTGCAGCGCCATGACTGTCTACTTCACCGAACAGAGGTGAAGTTCTCAGAAACCATAGCAACTACAAATTCAATGTTGTATTTCCGCCAGAAGTGGTTTCCAGTGTGTAGCACCGTAGACCAACCATGTTCACCGTCAATGGTTGATTTAATCCCATGACCAAACTGAGGTACATCAGGGCAGAATAGAACACTGAACTATACACATATGAACACGCCTTGTGTTATCTAGCTGACTTGGATGTGCTTGGTTCGGTATCTTCTGACATATCTGAAAACATACATACAGGCATTAATCTCATGTAGACAAGGCTGGTATATGCCTACACAGTCATCACTGATCATTGTTTAAACCGCTGTTACAATGAAAGATCATTGTTTGATCATATAAAGTACATTCACATCCCCTAGAATGTTCTGTAGACCACTCATGTCATAGAATTGGAGGCAGCATGTTCATTTCAGGCAACAATTCTAAACAGCATTATTAAATGTTGTAAATTTGTCATTAACATAATAACAATCTGGCTGTGGAAGTCTGATGGAAACTTGTGAACTTGTTTTGAGCAGCAGTACTATCAGTCATTCTCGATCTGATACTTATGTTCCTGTATCAAGATAATCGGTTCCACCTTTTGTGTTGTCAGGTCGTCGTTTCCTACTTTTCAGAAATGGCTGATGGAACACGTCATGGAGGCGCTGGGCCTGAAGTAGATATAAACACTCACTAGACAAATGAAGTAATAAATAATGAAGCTAGCAAATACTGATCTAAGAGACAAACATTACTGTACTCATTAAGCGCCCAGCTCCAATTACGCCTCTGACCCACTTTTACATCAAAACGTAAGAAATCTTTATAAGCACCCTTACAAATACCAAATATTTATATGACACTCCATACTTTCTTGTGGATATTACAGATTTATATTATAAAAAAACTGCAGCAATATATTTGCCTAGTAACTATTATCAAAAAGGTTTTAGTATCATCGCCGTTTGAACTTAGTTTGTTCGATCTCTGAAAACAAATTTAACTTGTTGCGTATAGTTTTAATAGGAGCCCCCTTTGTCAATTTTCTATGTGACTGAGGTACAGCCTCACAGCTTCTCACAGTACATACATGACTTAGAGTAGTTGATGCTTGGACCAAAGATGTAAACAGAACAACTTGGGCAGGAGAGCTTCCAAGATTGATAAATGTTAAGAAGCTATCTGCTGACAGACATCTGTTTGCCTCATACCTTCTGAGGCCCGAACCCTGGACACAGTGACAGCTCCTCCCTTCCCGCCTTCATCACCTTCTCCAGGCTCTACCATATAACAAGTAATTGAAGTTCAAGGTCATCATATAGCAAGTTCAAGGCCATCATAGAGCAAGTTCATGGCCATCACATAGCAAGTTCATGGCCATCATAGAGCAAGTTCAAGGCCATCATAGAGCAAGTTCATGGCCATCACATAGCAAGTTCAAGGCCATCATAGAGCAAGTTCATGGCCATCACATAGCAAGTTCATGGCCATCACATAGCAAGTTCATGGCCATCACATAGCAAGTTCAAGGCCATCATAGAGCAAGTTCATGGCCATCATAGAGCAAATTCAAGGCCACCATAGAGCAACTTCATAGCCATCATAGAGCAAGTTCATGGCCATCACATAGCAAGTTCAAGGCCATCATAGAGCAAGTTCATGGCCATCATAGAGCAAATTCAAGGCCATCACAGAGCAAGTTCATGGCCATCACATAGCAAGTTCAAGGCCAGCATAGACCAATTCATAGCCATCATAGAGCAAGTTCATGGCCATCATAGAGCAAATTCAAGGCCATCATAGAGCAAGTTCATAGCCATCATAGAGCAAGTTCATGGCCATCACATAGCAAGTTCAAGGCCATCATAGGGCAAATTCAAGGCCATCATAGAGCAAGTTCATGGCCATCACATAGCAAGTTCATGGCCATCATAGAGCAAGTTTATGGCTATCACATAGCAAGTTCATGGCCATCACATAGCAAGTTCAAGGCCATCATAGGGCAAATTCAAGGCCATCATAGAGCAAGTTCATGGCCATCACATAGCAAGTTCAAGGCCATCATAGAGAAAGTTCATGGCCATCACATAGCAAGTTTATGGCCATCACATAGCAAGTTCATGGCCATCACATAGCAAGTTCAAGGCCATCATAGAGCAAGTTCATGGCCATCATAGAGCAAGTTCATGGCCATCATATAGCAAGTTCATGGCCATTTTGAAACAACACAGCTAGTAACACTTCAACTGCACATTCAAAAAGTTACGATTTCGTTTACTCATCAGATCTTAAATAATTTATGGGAAAGAATAACCTGATCTGAGTAAAGGAAGGCAGTCTGGATGAACTTGTGAAGCTATCAATGTTGAATATATCGCATGACAAGATTAATCAACTCACCCCAAACGTGGTCATGAGAGTCATACAGTCTGTTTTGTTGACGGACTTCACAGTCGTCAGGCAATCTGTCATCTGTCAACAACAAATCAAGCATGAAATACTCACATCCCCCGCCAATATGACATGTCAAGTGTGTGCACTGCATTAGCTCCTGTGAACTATGTTCACTGGGCCTTTTTGTAAATGGCCTAATTGCAGCACTAAAAGTTATTACTGGTGTTGTTTTTCCATCTGCAGTTTATGATAGAATATGTTACTGTATTTGTAATGAGTAAGGATGAGACATATGGACGAACAACTTCTTTATTACAATTAGGAGCGATGGTTTCGGTGTAGGTTCTAACACCATTATCAAGCAAGTGAAGTACAGAGTATGGTTGACAAGAATATATATTGTTTATACAGTTGAGTAGGTTTAAGATCAGTTACACTGTTGTATTTGTAATGAGTTGTGTTTCTGTATGAAGTTAGTCAGTGAATGCAACAACTGTGTCCATGACACTTTTGGGGGAACATACACTCAAGCAATGCAGAACTTACCAACAAGAAAGGAAGTGTATTCAATACTATGAGATGACATTATGTGCCAAGTTTGGTAAAGAAATATAGTACGGTTTTCAAGATCTGCTCCGGAAACGAGGACTACCGCCATTTTCAGTCTAAATCAAAGTCGTTGCCATGGAAACTGGAGTATTTTTTTGTTGAAAAATCCCAAACTATCAAAAGGCACCAGTTCACCACTAGACCTATCTATGTGCCAAGTTTGATGAAGAAATATGGTATGGTTTTCAAGATCTGCTCCGGAAAGGAGGACTACCACCATTTTCAGTCTAAATCAAAGTCGTTGCCATCGAAACTCGAAAAAATTTTTTTTTAAAATCCCAAACTATCAAAAGGCACCAGTTCACCACTAGATCTATCTACCGGTATGTGCCAAGTTTGGTGAAGAAATACGGTACGGTTTTCAAGATCTGCTCCGGAAACGAAATGTGACGGACGAACGGACGGACAGAAGGACCAGAAGGCACCCATTCCTATATCCCACTTCCACTTCGTGGCAGGGGATAATAACGGGAGGTGGAAATGATAACACCTATGAAAAACTGATAAAAATTGTGCCATGTCTTTCAGTCCTTAATGGGTTTCATGGGTTTTGAACTATTTCCAGACACACACCCTGTGGGGATTAGAATAGGTCCCTACCATCAAAGCTGGTTGTAAGACGTGAAATATGGATTTGGTGGTCAGACTCGTGACTTGTCGATAACGTGTCAGCCTACCCTGATGGACTGGGTTGTCATAACTGGGTTGATATATCATAACATCAATCACTGGACTGTGGTAATTAGACTGGACTGGAGTGATAATTTAAAACAAACACACAAACAGTTACCTTAGCCATGAAGTTGTTCTCTGTTCTCTCCATGATGGCTTCTGGTGGTTTGTTCTCATACACCTTGTACGTCTCCAGATACCTCCCTGCCTCCTCCGGGCTGGCCATCACAAACAGAGATGGAACCTTTTAGCCACTTATGAAAACATGTCTTACAAACACTTTCAACCACTAGTGGAGATAACACATCTTTAAAAATCTTTCAGCAATTACTGGAAACGCTTCACACTTTATGCACACTTTCAGCCACATACCACTGAAAAAGGATCCAAAAAATGTTTTAAATCATATCTATTGAAATTCAGCGTAGGCCTTTCTGGGTGAACAAACAAGGAAATGCAATGCCAGATCATGCATCTGATCTAGAGACTGATCTAAGACTAGAGGACCCATGGAGATCTGGGCTACAATAGGTCTTCAGCAACCTATGCTTGCCGTAAGAGGCGACTAGCGGGATCGGGTGGTCAGGCTTGCTGACTTGGTTAATGTCATTGTATCCCAATTGGGTGGATAGATGCTCATGATATCAATTACTGGATTGTCTGGTTCAGACTTGATTATTTACAGACCGCCGTCAAATGGCTGGATATTGCTGAGTGCAGTGTTAAACAACAAACAAATCTAAGACTACAGTCACCTGAAAGCCAGCATGAGCGTGCAGTCGGCCAGAATACACATCTTGGCCAGGTCCTTCAACAGGTGGTGAGGGTCTTTCTGAAATAAACAGGAAGTGAGGAACTATTTACTGAAGGAAATTCCTGCCATGGATCAGTTCATTGGTGTACGTATCTCATAATGTCAACACATGCACATGATACAGTACAATAGGTGCTGGGAATTGGTTATAAAATCATGATCATCATCGAAATTATTCGGTTAGCGACATGTTGCTGTTTTTCAATGTAAAGTTCAGTAACATTAGCAGGTCTAACCTGTGACTCGGGTTGAAGACTGCAATACCTACAAGTTTAAGGGAGCAGTTCAGAAGTTCTATGTTCTTTAAAAATCATAATTCCCTAAGATTGGGGGTGAAGGGATAAAATTGTTTTCAATTTTCTATTGCAATTTTTTCAGGGAATCAACAGTTCAAGTCAACACTAACAGCTCTTATCCTATATATTTTCCCATTGAAAATGAGTGAGTAGCCAAGCATACACCAAAAGCTCCGCCCAACCACCTTAAGGTAAAGGACAGGAGTTTCTGAGGATATCAACAAATCTTTTTTTTTGGGAATGTCTCAGTTTTCTCAAATATAACGATTGAAAGTAGTTGTAGAATGAGGCTCGCCAAGACACCAGTCAGCCAGTTTCCATCACATTTCTACATGGATATGTTCAACTCACAGGGATTACAGTTGCCTAACTGTGATCAACTCACAATATCAACTTGGACAAGCAGTACCCTCAGATCAAAACTCTTGCCCAGAAGGTTAAGCCGTTTGTGGACATATTCTGGGTTAAGTTGATGATATCGAAGACTGAAACATAACAAACTGTGTTGATAAACATGTCACAAACACCTGGTAATAGGATTTCATTGGTTTGTTCGTTGTTTGTAAGTAAAATTCCAGCTATACAACTGTGGACTTATACAACTGTGGACTGAAATAATGGAGTCACCAGACAATCTAGTGATTCATAATATGAGCGATGCCCCAAGCCGTCAGGTAATATGACATGCGATAAATTAATGATAAACATAATAGTTTTGAGGTCAGGGATCAGCTTTATCATTTAAAGTTATGCCATCAGGATTACTAATTTCAGGATCAACGAACTCGAATGATGGGTACTAATAGAATCCCTTTGATTAAGTATAGACACTCCAGTTGTAGATGCCCAGTGTCTTGACTGACAAGGCCCAGACTAACAAGGTGACACTAAACTATCCACCACGTCCTCTACATCTACATCTGAAAATCTCAAAGCCCTCCCTAAATTTATTACAGTGATCCCTAGCTACAAAGCTACCCTTGGGGTCTAAAGACAATCAGCGGTTTAACCGAGGTGGAGTCATAGGGGGTACATGACCAACAAAACAGTATACATGCTCTGCCTACCTAACACCATCTAGGTTTCACGTTTCAGCATTTGAAAAAGATTAGAATAGTAGTTGTTTATGATTCATAGTGTAAACAAAACATTTATCGAGTGTTATGGGCTTACAAAAACTACATTGTACAGCAAATTTTGGTGAACGAACTAGTATAACAAACTAAATGTCTGAGATATCTGCTGTAAAGACACACCTGAGGAACAGCGCACATGTTGATTGCCCCATAACGTAATCTGGTACAATGTTCCCGTATTCCCAGGGTATGTTTCTCACATGCTTCAATATGGGGTTTCCTCTCTGAAATAATATTGAAACACTCATAGATTTACAGAGAGAGAGAGAGAGAGAGAGAGAGAGAGAGAGAGAGAAAGAGAGAGAGAGAGAGAGAGAGAGAGAGTTTACAGCAGTCACAAGTGTTACTCCCATATGTGTGTCAAATTATCAAGTGAGTAAGTGATTGAGTGAATGTTGTTTTACTCTGCAGACAACAGTATTCCAGTCATCTCATGGCATCCTGTAACTAGACAAGTCTCAAATTAGCATGAGGAATGATGACACTGAATCAGCCAGGGTACAAACTATAACTACCTGATTATCATTTCAGGCCTAGCTTTCAATATCACAATAGAATGGAGAGTTAATACACTGGACAATCGAGGATAGCAATGTTCTAGCTAAGGCATAAGCAATGATCCATGATGATGCTGTGACATCAGCCAGGTAACACTGAACCATCCAACCCCCCTTTTGAGTCTCTTACAACCATGATGAGGTGGCGTCACATAAACAAAGATTATTATGAATTTGGAAATGACTCAATTCTGACTGAACACAGTAGGTTTATCTCCTAAATACTTACCTGTCTCTGGTTAACAATCAGGGAGTTTGTTTTTCCTATTTTAGCAAGTGTTGGTAGAGATCTGTAAACAGAACATAACAATGATAGCAACTGAATGACCAACCACACTGAACGTACCTTGCTGTTTCAGTACAACATAATGCTGACATCAGCTTCATGGTATTTCAAATGATATTGGCTATGGTATTTACTTCTTCAAAAGTCATGGATTATCACTGCAGCTGCAACACAAATACTAACATGGTCAGTACCTAATGTGAAAGATACCTACTCTACAGGTTGTTCTTCTGCTAATTTCTCTGCTTCCTTTTGTAAACTTGTGGATTTTGCTGCAACATCCAGCTTACTAGCTGTCACTTTTGTCAAATTGTTAGCTGTTTGTGATTTGCTAACACCTTCTTTTGCAGAATTTATATTTTTATCTGAAACAAAATTGTTAAGTAATGTAAAGCAGTCAATAAATCATTATGGCTGATACATGATGGTATTTAATCAGTTACCTGTATCAGTTTTGTTTCAAAAAGAGGTCAATTAGCAAGATTAGCTTTAGAGTACACAATTCAATATGAATAAATTATATATGATGAAAAACATGATAAAGAAGGTTATGGATTGGGATTTCAGGTATAGCTGGCTTTGAATTTGTTATGCATGGGAAGAGATTTTTTCGACATTGTGAATAGAATAACATAGAGGATGATTAACAGCTGTGTTTATTCTCTTAATCTGCAGAAGGATATCATGTAAATACATAACATAAGATGTAGATGGATTGATCTCCTAGTGCAGGAAAACATGTGGACTTTTCAGAGTTTTATTGTACCATTACTGGATGCAGCCTTTGTGTCTGTTGAGACTGAGCTTGATGGGTGTGTGTTGGAGTTGCTACTGTTGGTTGGCAGTCTTTTCTGTGGTAAGCTGGAAGCTACTGATGGTACGACTTGCTTGGGCAATACACCATCACTCTTAGACTCCTTGACAGTCTTAAAGAGAGGCTTGACTCCTTTCTGTAAAGAATACATAGTGACACTGATCATTAGTGCAACTGCGGACTCACCAAACAATGTACACTGAACTTCTATATTGTCTTGTTTACTTCTCAGATTAGCAACTGCACTCATTTGCTTGGGTCATACTATATTACAATACGACTGTCCTGAGTGCATATTTAACACCCTGACTCATTATTATGTCATATTTAATGTTTTTGATAGGATTATTCTTGTTTATCTTTAGTTACAAATGCTTTCAGTTTAGTGACAGCAGTGCACAGATACCAGACAAACGTAAACTACCCTAGAGCCATTTAGCTAATTTTGCAATACTGTGTAGAAATTAATTTATGTGATGCACTATTATAAACGAACCACAGATTTCAATCAGTTTTGTGTCAACCAGAAAAAGAGGAATTAGTGTGTTACGTAAAGGGGGAATGGTAGCGGCTATAAAATGTTCTTGCCCCGTGATGGGATTCGAACCACGGTCGGACGCCTTGTCCACATACTCCGTCAGTAGGCCGACAAGGTGAGGATGTCATCTGTGGGATGACTCCTCGCCCGACCCTGCTACATCAGCAAAATGATACAGATAAACCTGTACTGCTGACTGTTGACACTCACTTTCAAACCTGATTCAGCTTTGTCTTTCTCATCTAGAGTTGGAATTCTAAACCTTCCTTTTCCAGCCATGTTTTGACATTCATGCGCTACAAGTAGATACACCTAAGGTTGTTGATTTCTGTTGAAAATACACGACTATGGTCAACTCTATTGCAACAAATTGAAGTATCAAAGGGGGATAAGTCGCTCTGTTAATAGCCTTTGGGATACCACAAAACAAAATTCAGATCATGTTGTCACCGATTGATCGATTGGTTTTAAAACTAATTAACGTGAACATGGTGAAGAAATTACATCTGGTATAATAAAATTGAAAAATCTTAAACGTTAAAAATTTTAAAGCAAAACAAAATACAACAACACGGTTCATTTGTCGAATCGTTCACCAAACAATCATAAATGTTACGAATGTTAGATATTTAACGAGCGCTTCCATCGAAGGTGATTTCTCTCTTTGTACCACACTTGTACAAAGTAAAAAACTATATGAAATATTCAACCATTTTGAGCAATTTATCCACATATACAATGAACTCGGATCCACCTAAAGTTGATCAACTCAGAAATAATAGATGTTTGATAATCGTAAGCATATAAAGAAATACGAGGTATTGGTTTTTGAGTTGTTACGAAAGTTGGGTAATATATAACACTTAATCCTTGTTTATACAAAACATTTTAATTTAACGGGACACAGGTTCTTTTTCTATTTAAATCAAAACAAAACAACAAAAACAACAACAACAACAACAGTATCTTACTTCCACAGGTCCGGTGACCAAAATGTCCCAAATGTTGAACTAATAATACTTTCGTCTTCCCATAGAGCCTATTTCCCAGCATCCTTCATTGTATAATTCTCTGGGTATTCCATGGCGTTCTCTCCGAACAACACGTTTCTATTATCTAATTTGTTTATCCCAATACCGATACAGTCTTAAAATACCCAAACGTGATTTTGCATATATGATAAAACAAGTAATATGAACATGTATTAGACAAGCACTGTCTACCATGATAAACGTACAATATTATGTGGTAGTATTATTGGATGCCGTGTTGCTGCATCTAGTTTGTAGTCATTCTTGACATTCTGCGTGCGCAATAAATATAAAACGTCACCGCTAGAGAAAGATCAGTCTCGACAGACAGTCTCGGCGCAAAAGGCAAGACAGCGGTGAAAATTATATGAAGGGATAACTGAAAATCAGTGATAACACCAGGGCCCAATTGCACAAAACGATCTTAGCGCTAAGATGATCATGACTCCCATACATTAACATAGGCTAGTCTGTCTTACAGACCCTGATACAAATATATATCAAATACAGCCCATGCAAGTCTATAATGTTTGGTAAGTCTAGATCACTGCAGTATCTGAAAATGAAGAGAGTCACTGGGCTCCATTTTATTATATTTTTATTAAGATAACTGAACAACTGTTTTTTTTATGTACGATATGTTCATTTCAGAGACTAGATTTTAGTCTATAACATAGGCTTGCGATAGTCGTAGCGCCAAGATCGCTTCGTGCAAGTGGGCCCAGGTGTTTGTTTGTTTTTGTTGTCATTGTTTAACGTCGCACATATGGTACAATGTGTGAAGCCTATTTCTGGTATCCCCCGCCGTGATATTGCTGGACTATTGCTAAAAGCGGGGTAAGACCTCACTCACTCACTCACTCACTCACTCACTCACTCACTCACTCACTCACTCACTCACTGACTCACATATGAGAATCACTTTTGTGCAGCATGGAAACATACAAATATCCTTATCTCAAGTGAAGTAGCATATATACCCTTATATATGTGGTTCCTCAGCGGTATATATCCATGTACAGGACGTTACCATGAGCACTTAAGCAGGTATATTGAAATAATGGATATTCTCATAGCAGATGCAGCTTCAATCTGAACCCAGATGCCAAAGATGATTGGTTAGATTCCACTGGGTCATATCAGCCCTAGTATCAGCAAGGAAATATGCCTGTGTTTGATCGCCAGATAAACGTTGACCTCAAACATTTGCACCCACCCAGCCATGTGGATTTCAAGTCATGCACAGATATGTAATCTCTGCTTCTTGTTGCATTCATTGCCTGTTCCTCATCCCATGCTACCTGTGTGTACATAGTGGAATGACTTTAACATCTTAACATTTATAGTTTGTTTCTGAATACCTCAAGTTATGTTTACTGTTAAAGCATTGGGCTGTTGTATTCTGTTATGAGGTGGTGTATGATGTTGAGGCCATTCAGTAGTACAGTGGATAGTGCCATCTCTTATCATTCTGCAGTCCTAAGTTTGATTCTTTGAGTTGGTGCAGTCTGAGATGTCACTTAATAGTGACAATAGTTTAACTTAGCGACAGTATCTTCTCAGATATAAAGAGCCCTACACTGTTTGAGGTATCATTAATCTTCAGCATTTTTCTGCTTTGGGCAAAATATTATTGTTTGTTTGTTGTTTAACGCCTCACTCAGCAATATTCTAGCTATATGACGGCGGTGTGTAAATAATCGAGTCTGGACCAGACAATCCAGTGATTGATATCATTTGCATCGATCCACGTTATTGGTATACGATGACATGCATCATCCAAGTCAGCGCGCCTGACCACCTGATCCCGTTAGTCGCCTCTTACGACAAGCATAGTCGCCTTTTACGGAAAGCATGGGTTGTTGAAGACCTATCTAACCCGGATCATCACGGATCTACACACGGTGTTAAAGTATGTAACGGGGTAATTTTGAAGACATTTTTACAGGATAACTTACATTATTAATCATTATTTCACATTTCATAATAGATTTGTTTTCTCCCGCCACGTTATTGCTGGAATATTGCTAAAAGCGGAGTAAACCATACTCACTCACTGATATACAGAAGAACACGGAGGCGTCTGTATTTCCGATGAAACGTGTATACTTATCATTATGTGTCGAGTGAGTGAGTGAGTTGGGTTTGACGCCGCTTTTAACAGTATTCCCGTTATATCACGGCGTGTCAACTTAATGTGGGAGGAAAGCCCGAAGTGATGCAGGTCTCAGACGTGTACCACTTCGGTGAAACCCACGAGCACGGGTATGGTGCTGACAAACCTAGAAACATAATCGGGGCGAACCGGGATTCGAACCCACAATCATAGGTTTCTGGCGTGCCCAAGGGACGCAACTCTACACAGCGAATCGCGGCGCCTTAGACGACAGGGCCACCCGTGCCCCCCCCCCCCCCCCCCCCCCCCCCCCCTTATGTGTCGAGAGTGGCAGTGGTGAGCCAGGTGTGGTTAAGTTTAGTATACGTGTTGATTCTTATCTTGAGTGCCAAGATGGCAGGAATGAGTATATAGATATCTACACAACAGATCATGCACCATCACGATCTCGCACTGAATTACACTCTGGCAGCATTTATCTTCAAGGTCAAGTAACAGGACAAGTAAAGTAGGTCAAGGTAATGTCGGCACCTTTCGTTTCTAATGTCACAACTTACCGTAAATATTATTCGTTTAGAGGCCACGGATAAAAAAAGCATACCTGCCGGATATATTCCCTGTAAATGCAGCTCTGTGCTGTCACTAAATGTGTAGCTATTACACAGTCATTGACCTTCTATCCCCTTTGTTTACCTGGCTGAAACTAAAAGATGCCGACAGGCATTAAATCAGGCCAACGGTAGAAGTCAGGGAATTACTGGTAAGGTGAGGTGGAATGGAGTTTAACGCCGCGTTCAAGATTATTGCACTTACATAGTGACGTACATGCACGTATATGTGTGTGTGTGTGGCTGCTTGTCTTAGTCCGGATTAATGCCGATTTTTTAGTGCTAGCACCGCTGAGATCCATGAGATACCATGTCTCAATTTAACATGAATACCCCACACAGACACAGTCCTTGCTTTAGCCGAGCGCCAGACAGGATAGCAACAAGTACCATTTTTTTTACGTCTTTTATAGTATACGCTAACGGGGATCGGACCGACCTACCGCTCTCCGGGCAGACGCTCAATCCACTAGACCACGGATGTAGTTTGACTGGTAAGGAATAATGTTATTGGATGATGAACTTATAATCGAGGAAATAAGGTACTGATAATCTTATCTCGTCTCGTTCATCTAGATGTGTTGTAGTTCAGAGTGAAGTTCTGTTATTTGTGAGCTAGCTTTCACTTTGAAGAACGATGTCTGGAAAAGCGCGAGAGTTCCCCCGCGTCAAGGCAGTGAGGGCCTATACAATGGCACCTAGCATGAAGGATCAGGGATCCGACTGCCATGACGTTGTAGATGATCACTGGATTAACGGAGGACTGGCACCAATCGCCAACCCTATGTCAGGATATCTTCAATACAGAGCTTTCAGGAAATCCTGGGGAATCAACGCACTTGGAACTTTGGTAGTTGAAGTTGAAGCAGACGATGGAACTACGGGCGTTGGCGTCACCATCGGCGGAGAACCCGGATGTTACATCGTCGAGCGGCATCTAAGTAGATTTGTTGAAGGTCAAGATCCTCGTGATGTGGAACTTATGTGGGATCAGATGTTCCGAGCTACACTGAACTATGGGCGGAAGGGGTTGCCAATACAAGCTATAAGTGCCGTGGATTTAGCTCTGTGGGATCTTCTGGGCCGTTTGCGGAATGAGCCAGTGTATGCGTTGCTTGGCGGGAAAACTAAAGATCGTCTGCCAGTCTATTCAACAACGGGTCGTCCTGATCTCGCCAAGGAATTTGGGTTTGTCGGAGCGAAGATTCCATGTCCATACGGTCCTGATGAGGGAGATGAAGGATTGAGGAAAAACGTCGAGTTCTTCAAAGGATGGAGAGAGAAAGTTGGACCCGATTTCCCATTGTCTCTGGACTGTTACATGGCTCTGACAGTTCCTTATGCTATTCGTCTAGCAAAGGAATTAGAGCCACTTGGTCTGAAATGGATTGAAGAATTTCTGCCTCCAGACGATTATGAAGGCTACGGCGAGGTGAGGAAGGCACTGAGAGGTTCGAAAGTTCTTCTAACGACTGGAGAACACGAATATACAAGGTATGGATTCAGGCAACTTCTTAGTTCAAGATGTGTCGATGTTATTCAACCAGACATCACATGGCTTGGAGGGATTACAGAAGCCAGGAGGGTGGTTGCCATGGCGTCAGCGCATGACATCTTGGTCATTCCCCATGGTTCAAGCGTCTACTCGTATCATCTTCAGTATGCCTTCAGGAACTGTCCACTAGCGGAATTCATCAATCTGAGTCCGAAAGCCGACAAGATTACGCCCTATTTTGGAGGGATATTTCCTGACGAACCTCTACCTAAAGATGGCTTCATTGACCTTCGACCAAGAGCTGGATTTGGTGTGACATTGTGTAAGGACAATCTGACCAGACCGTACCAAAGGTCAGAGAAAGAGTCTTCCCAACAGGCAAACCAGAACATAGAGAGAAAAGTACCAGAGAAGGCCTCTTTTCCATTTTAAGATTGACAGTTGGATTGCTCGGTTCATTGCCTGTGTGTCATCATCTATGCTCAATACTTTGTAAAATAACAGATGTTGAGACTACCATTCGATTATGATATAAAATGAAAGCATACTGCAGCTTCTAAAATGCCACTTAAAGACATCATAAAATAAATGTCAAGAAATTGTAGTCTTTGTTTTGTTGCACATCTATTAGTGAAGACAACAGCAATTCCTTTACACATAAAGCATCAACACCATAGTTGGTGTTCAGTAAACAGGAGTTTGAATATATGTGATAGTTGTTTATAAGAACTCTCTTATAGCTTTGACCCTGTTACAAACTAGGGTCCTTATTACTATTCAACAGACCTGTGGTGATAAGGGGTAAGAATATAGGAGCTTGCAAGACACGACAAAATGGATAATGTTGTTGGGCTTGGTGACATCGTATCGTATATTGTGTGGATCCTCATGACATCAATAACTGGCTTGTCTGGTCCAGACTCGATTATTACATCGTGTGGCATTTTGCTTTAAAGCGGGGTATGCGATTTATTCCCCACTGAATAATTTATTCCCCTCCAAGGCGGGATACACAGTATTTTATCAAGATCATATGGACTAATCAAATCTCATCATTCTGACATGGAGGTGTGATAATAAACTATTATCCCCATCTCCCATACAGAGGGTAAAACTGGTGTTTTGACCTGAATCAACTCAGGAAGACGTGCAAAGTGTTTGGTCCAATCAGAGTGGGTGAGTTGGGTTTGACACCGTTGTTAACAGTATTCCAGTTACATCTTGGTGTGTCAGCTTAATGTGAGAGGAAAGCCCGAAGTGATGCAGGTCTCCGACGTTTACCATTTCGGCGAAACCCATGAGCATGGTATGGTGCAGACAAACCTAGAACATAATTGGAGCGAACCGGGATTTGAACCCACAGTCATAGGTTTCTGGCATGCCCACAGGATGCAACTCTGCACAACGAATTGTGGTGCTTTAGACGACTGGGCCACCTGTGGCCCCTGGTCCAATCAGAAGGACTAGCACAATGTCTAGAGGTAACAAGACACCTGTAGAATAGGTCTTCAGCAAACCATGCTTGCTGTAAAAGGTGACTATGCTTGTCAGAAGAGGCTACTGACAGGATCGGGTGGTCAGACTTACTGACTTGGTTGATGCATGTCATCCCAATTGCATGGATCGATGCTCATGATGTCAATCACTGGATTGTCTGATCCAGACTTGATTATTTACAGACTGCTGTCATATAGGTGGAATATTGCTCAGTGCGGTGTTGAACAACAAGGAAAGATTACAAGATGTGTGCTTTGAGAAAGTGGTTAATGCCAGTTTAAATATATACTGTTACCTGAAACAAGCATATCTCACTGTCCCATCACACATCTCAACGTACGTATTGTGTAAACTAATCAAAAGAAGTTCAAGAATATGTGACTTGTTTCACATGACAAAACTGAATCTGTCCTAGCTGTATTGCAATGCCCTCCAACTGTTGATGTTCTTTAACTTATATATTGAATGTGTCTGGGATACTGGGAATGTGCAACAGTAGAAATACTACTTATCAATATAAGCCTGGCACAGGACATCTCTTATATGCAGGAAGATACAGAGCATCCTGACACATGGAATATTGTTTGTTTGTTTGTTGTTTAACGCCACTATCAGCAATATTCCAGCAATAAGAGGACGATCTGTAAATAATTGAGGCTTGACCGGACAATCAAGCGAGTGATATCATGAGCATCGATCTATACAATTAGGATATCATGACATGCATCAACCAAGTCAGCAAGCCTGACCACACGATCCTGTTAGTCGCCTCTTTTGACAAACATAGTCGCCTCTTACGACAAGCGTGGGTTGCTGAAGACCTATTCTAACCCACATCTTCACGAGTTGACAGATGGCATTAGTACTACAGTTTAACGATTATGAGTGGATGAAACCTACCACTGTCTTCTCATGTGCACGTTCCACAACGATACAGTCTCTAAAAGGGGGACTAGGCAGCTTATTCTAATACTTCAGTCTCATTACAATCATATCTTATTACACACTCCCGCTACACAGATGTGAAAACATCCCATTACAGGTCAAGCCAGATCAAGATTGCAAATACCTGACACACCACTTTGCTCGTCTGCTGGGTCTATTTTTCGGATGTTGATTGATGCAGTCGTTAATGATTACCCTTATGACACAGAGACGGCCACAAGTGGATGTAAATACGTATGGGTCAAGGAAAAAACTGCATCAAAGCTTGGACATTATCTCCCACTGAAAGGCAATGCTCATTGATTGCTCATTTTTTTTGTGAAACCCCCAAACTAACTCACTCACTCTTGAGGATTAATGAATGAATAGGAACACTCACACACTGCTTGTATAAATCATAGTTTATTCATGTGATTCCAGCATTATATTTAAATATATATATGTTGTAAAGTGACTGAAATATTTAGGCTTTTTGGAAATTGCCTTTGTGAAAATTCCAGTCATTTTACAACTTGACTGTAACATATACACTTGAACAAATGAGCCCATATTTGAAGACTCAAATTGTAGATTTAGGACAAAGCTTTGCTTGCAAAATAATTCTTCCAAGTTCAGTATTTCCAAAAAAAGTGAAAAAAGGAGCAAATTTGGCATTTTAAAAGGAAATAATCTGTTAAAAAAGAAATGGACGGACAAACACATTAACATATCACAATACCTAAATTTAACTTAATAACTTATATACAATAGATAACTTTAATGTACAGAACAAAATATACAGACATTTTCATTGTACAGATTATTTCACACAAGGTCTTGACCATAGCATTCAAACCAGAATGATATTTATAGAACATAAATCTCAAACAGACCGTCAACTACAAGCAATGCATTAAACAGTAGGTGATGACTTGCTAGAAAAACTGTTCCAGATATTGATTGGCAAGCAAAAAATCAATCCTGTAGGTCCTCGATTACATGCATCGATGCTGGTGAATACATTAATCCTCATCATGGGGCACTCCCCGGGAGCTGAGAGCGATGGTGACGTTCCTCAATGCTGGTTGTACGTGTGGGAACTCCTGGTTGAGCCTGTCCACGATGGTGCTGAGCGCCTGCATGCGATCTATCTGCTTGTTGTGTTCTGTCTCCAGGGAGGACTCCGACTTGCACAGCATGGTGTACTTGCCATCCTTCACTTGCTGGTAATATTTGTGTTTCTGCTGTTTGGCAACAAGGTCCTTCATATTCTGGAACATATTCAATCATATTGGAATTACATTTACTTACCATATTTTCTTGAGTATAGAGTACCCCTTACCCCCTCTAGGTGATGCAGTATTTTGGAAAAAAGGATTTTTTTAGCCTTATGCGCAGTCAGATATTTTCGACTCGTTTCAGGTGCAGTCATGATATGAAACATCAATTAAGAACTTTGCCATTGTGCCATTGTGTGAATAAAGGCAACTGCAAATTGCAGATTCAAATAAATATATTATGCATTTGAATATTAATGATATTGTAATTACATCCGAATTGACTCCATGATCTATGACATTGTTTGTTTACCTCTCTCCTGTGAACAATGGATGCAATCACTTTATTTCATTATATATTTTATATTTTTGGATGATAATTGCTAAATCAATTTTCATTCATAACGTATGCAGGTTAATCTGTGTCTATTTACCTAGGAATCTCCACATCAAACCAGTGATGATATCCTATTCCTTACACAATATCATTGAGGTAAATTCTCAGCCAAATCAATTACTTTTCATTGCAGCAAGCTTTAATTGTTGTATTACTTTACGATTGATTAAAATAACAACACTGTCAAAACATGTGAATAATAAAGTCTCACAGTGGAGTGCTGACTGTGACTGGACATGTGATCATTTCCTCTATATAAAACCTTTGTGACACAACTTAATTTTTCTCTGCCCTGATACAGGATGCAGTCACAGACAATTTTATTAATAATTAGATATGAATGTGTCTGCTTTGAAACATACTCCCTGGAGCTGAAAACACGATATATTCATATATTTCTTAGATAATGAGAGTTGGCACTATAACAATTTTTATTTTAAGAATATGCTAATCAGGGTGGGGAAAATGAAAAATTGATACGAAAGAGGGGTGGCCAAACAAAATTCACAACTATAGGGGGAATGAAAAAATGAAATTTGAACATTATTTTGAGTCTGGTCATTTGTTATAGGCAGGGAGGGGGGAAAATATGATACAGATCTACAACCAATTCCACCAGCCCACACACCCTCTATAAAAAATGACCAGTCCCTTAATTCAATTCAAACACTTTCATGCATAGTTCAAATACAGTACGTTCAACTGGGGCTGGGACGAGCCCAAATTTACTACCCGGGTACCCGATCCCCTATTACCTGGCCCTACCCAGGTACCCACTGCAGGTCTCAAGAGTTGGGAACAAAATGTCTGATTGGGAATTGTTTTATAGCAGCCCTGGCCAAAACTATTTAGATACATGTATCAAAAGATCAGATCAGGCGTACACTGAAGTTGACTGAAGCTTTATCTTTACTCAGACATATACAAGTCAAAAGGATTGTGTCACATTAGCGAACATTAGCGAACATTAGCGACTTGTGGTGTAACCACTGAGCTATTGTGAGTTTTTGTCATCAAACAATATATCATATGTGACTAACCACGGGTCTGGGTAGTCCTGTGGGTACCCGGGTCCTACTCAGGACCCCCTGACCCGAGTACCCGAGTTACCCGTCCCAGCCCTACGTTGAACCCTTACATAAAGTGCTATTTCCATAGGCTGAATGCTTTAAGCCTACATACACACTAATCAACAAGAGGATAAATATCAATGTTCCCGACTCAGCAGCCACGACACCATGATAAGACACAATCCACACCTTTAACTTGACATCAAGGAGCCTCTCGATGTCCCCATCCAGGGTGTCTGCAGAGCCCTGGAGTTGCTGACAGTTCACCTGCTTCTCCTCGAGCTGCCCACTCAGCTCCTGCTGGTGATCGCGCAGCTCATGAATGTCACTGTCACAGCTTGAAGCATCCTGTAGTATAGAGAGGGCACACAGAGTGAGTGAGTGACTAGGAGAGAGAGGGAGGGAGGGAGAGTGAGTGAGTGAATGATAGAGGGAGTTTAACGCCACAGTCAGCAATATCCCAGATATATGATGGCAACCTGTACATAATTAACCTGAACCAAACAATCCAGTGATCGATATTGTGAACAATGATTCACGCTGTTGGGTATGATGACACGCTATACACTAAGTCACCAAACCTGACCACATGATATACTTGGTCATCTCTTATGACCTGCATGAGCTGCTGGGACCTGACCACACGATATACTTGGTCATCTCTTATGACCTGCATGAGCTTCTGGGACCTGATCACATGATATACTTGGTCATCTCTTATGACCTGCATGAGCTGCTGGGACCTGACCACACGATATACTTGGTCATCTCTTATGACCTGCATGAGCTGCTAGGACCTAACCACACGATATACTTGGTCATCTCTTATGACCTGCATGAGCTACTGGGACCTGATCACACGATATACTTGGTCATTTCTTATGACCTGCATGAGCTTCTGGGACCTGATCACATGATATACTTGGTCATCTCTTATGACCTGCATGAGCTGCTGGGACCTGACCATACGATATACTTGGTCATCTCTTATGACCTGCATGAGCTGCTGGGACCTGTTCTAACCCGGAATGGTTAAAGTGGTAGTCAACAAGGAAATGTCATCAGTGCTTCCTGAATCTTAATTCTGATCCCTGGTCAGTGATATATCACTTTCATGTCTGCCTGTATTAGTGTGACCCAAGCAATCCAGCAACTGACGGCATGAGCAGCGATCTATGCAACTGGGGTACCATGACACATGATAGCCAGGTTACATTCTTGTAATCAACCGATCCTCGCTGGTCAGCTTTTAGTACAATCATGGGGTAATGGCGAGTTCATTGTAATCAGCCCTAGAACAGGCAAACAATCTAACAGGAGCACTGTTTGAGTGAGTGTGAGTGTGAATTGGGCTTAACACTGCTTTTAACAGTATTCCAGTCATACCACAGCGTGTCAGCTCAATGTGGGAGGAAAGCCTGAAGTGATGCAGATCTGGCATTTACCACTTTGGTGAAACCCCAAAACCCACAAGCATGATGCTGACAAACCTGGAAACAAAATTCAGCTTGTCAGCTCAATGTGGGAGGAAAGCCTGAAGTGATGCAGATCTGGCATTTACCACTTTGGTGAAACCCCGAAAAACCCACAAGCATGGTGCTGACAAACCTGGAACCAAAATTGGGCCGAACCAGGATTTGAACCCACAATCATAGGTTTATGGCTGGCCCAAGGGACACAACTCTGCACAGTGAATTACCGCGCCTTAGGTGACTAGGCCCTCTATGCCCCCAGCACTGTTCGAAGTAATCATATGTGTTCAATGACACATTTTCAAAGTGACCCATTCTAGTACCATCATCTCAGCCGCCATTATGGTAATCTTTACAAGCACTAGGGATCTAATGTGCACAAGGCTACCAACTTAGTCACATCTGAATGACTTCCCTGATTTGCATTTTCAAACAAAATTGACAGAGGAAGAAACAAAACTTACATTTGTTGTTTGTTTTATCTTTCTACGATGCTCAGCCATCTGTCGTTCAAACGTTCCCTTGGTAACAACTTTCTGCTTCATCTTGGACTGAGAGTCACCTCGGGTTACAATGGTGTCTCTCCTGAATATATAGATGGATGTATTTAACAGGAAATATAAACAACATACTAACTGGACACCGAGTATGTCATGAACAAGTAAAGTATTGTTTTAAAGCCACTTTTAGCATTATTCCAGGATTAACCAGTGGACTTCCACAAACACCCCCTGGCCATCCCCCCCTCAAACCCAAACCATCAACATCAAAAACACAACTTCGCAACATTGTCATATTTACTGTTACAGCAAATGTGTAATAAGATATCTAACAGGTGATGAGAACTCCTACAAATACATTACACAGCTGACATACCTGGAGACGGCCTTCTCCATGTCCTGGATCATCTTCTCCTGCTGCTTCATCAGCTGACTGTACCTGACCTGCATCCGATGGATCTCGGACTTCATGGCTCTGATCTCCCCCTGTCCAATCTCAGAGTCTACAGCTGCCCGGGTCTCCCTAGCCAGCTGGGTCTTCTTCTCCCACAACATGATTTGACGCCTGAAACAAGAAATATTGGATACTTGAAAAAACTATATTTTTCCTTTAGCAGAGGATGTTAAAATATGAATAAAATTGCCAACCATCTGTCTCTACTCACTCTGCCTCCACCAGACTGTTCAGTAGCCTCTCTACCACCTGTCTCTATTCACCAGACTGTTAAGTAGCCTCACTACCCCCTGTCTCTACTCAGGCTGTTAAGTAGACTCCCTACCACCTGTCTCTACCCAGGCTGTTAAGTAGACTCCCTACCACCTGTCTCTATTCAGGCTGTTAAGTAGACTCCCTACCACTCGTCTCTACTCGGTAGCCTCACTACCACCTGTCTCTACTCAGGTTGTTCAGTAGCCTCCCTACCACCTGTCTCTATTCAGGCTGTTCAGTAGCCTCACTACCACCCGTCTCTACTCGGTAGCCTCACTACCACCTGTCTCTACTCAGGTTGTTCAGTAGCCTCCCTACCACCCGTCTCTACTCGCCTCCCTACTACCTGTCTCTACTCACTCTGACTCCACCAGACTGTTCAGTAGCCTCACTACTGCCTGTCTCTACCCACTCTGCCTCCACTAGACTGTTCAGTAGCCTCACTACCCCCTGTCTCTACTCAGGCTGTTAAGTAGACTCCCTACCACCTGTCTCTACTCAGGCTGTTAAGTAGACTCCCTACCACTCGTCTCTACTCGGTAGCCTCACTACCACCTGTCTCTACTCGGTAGCCTCACTACCACCTGTCTCTACTCAGGTTGTTCAGTAGCCTCCCTACCACCTGTCTCTACTCAGGCTGTTCAGTAGCCTCACTACCACCCGTCTCTACTCGGTAGCCTCACTACCACCTGTCTCTACTCAGGTTGTTCAGTAGCCTCCCTACCACCCGTCTCTACTCGCCTCCCTACTACCTGTCTCTACTCACTCTGACTCCACCAGACTGTTCAGTAGCCTCACTACTGCCTGTCTCTACCCACTCTGCCTCAACTAGACTGTTCAGTAGCCTCACTACTGCCTGTCTCTACTTACTCTGCCTCCACCAGACTGTTCAGTAGCCTCTCCTTCTCCTCCTTCACAGAGTCCAGATTGTCCTGCATCTCTATGGATGATCTCTCTGCTTCCTTCAAGTTGGCGATGAAGTCATTCTCAAGCAACGATGTGCCCTGCTCAAGTTCCACCTCATAGCCCTTCTCTCTGTGTAGCAGTGTGTTCAACTTGATCATGTCATTCTGCATGTTGCGGATGTGGCGGTCAATATCATATGTCTCACGTCTCTGCTGGTCAATGTCATCTGTTGATTGATATCACAAAGTATGTATCAATGTCAACTGCCATGTTTGGTGCCAAGTTTGGTGCCATGTTTGGGCAACTGTCATGCTTAGTGCCATTTCTGGCAACAGTGAATACAAGTTTACACAATGTTTTTCACAACAATGTAATTGTTCCAATTTAGAGCAGATAGATGTTGTTCGTAAAAGTATTGTGAATCATTGTCTTGAGCACAATATTATGATATGATGACACAATTACACTAGTGTTCCCACAGGGTCACACAAGCCACTGTGCGCATCTATTTCCCTTATCATTAGTAGGATGTAGTTGACAAGGGTGCACACAGAACATCAACAATGAATGACATGGGTTTCTTGTAGGCACGTACAGCAACACTATATAATGATCAGTTAAAAATTATATCCAACAGTTAAAGATTATATCCAACAGTTAAAGATTATATCCAACAGTTAAAGATTATATCAAACACATTCCATCAACAACCCATATAACGTCTATCCCAACGTACGCTCAGTCCTGATCTTCTTCTGTAAGAGGATGGTGAGCTGCTTCTTGTGCTTCTCCACGTCCTGCGACTGGTCTTCCTTGTCCTTGGTCAGTCTGACCAGCTCACTCTGCTGCCGCAGCCACATCTGCTGCAGTTCTGTGATCTCCTGCTGCGTTCCGTCTATCGTCTTCTGCAGGGAGGTGATGGTGACCTCCAGCGGACCCAGCTCCACACCCTGACAAACAAGGCATGAGGACTTATAGGGAGAGACACAGTTGGGGCTAATGCCAATTTTAACAGTACATCAGTTACATCACAATGTGTCAGCTTAGTGTGAGGTCAAAACATAAATTCTGAATTGGACAGATTCCACTGTACATCTAAATACACTCCTGGAAAGGAAGTCTATGAACATCTCCAGTAGACAGTACCCCAAGTATTGAGAACTTGCCCCAGCAGAGACATGTCCAGTAGACATCCCCCCAGCAGAGAAATGTCCAGTAGACATCCCCCCAAGTATTGAGAACTTGCCCCAGCAGAGACATGTCCAGAAGACATCACCCCAAGTATTGAGAACTTACCCCAGCAGAGACATGTCCAGTAGACATCACCCCAAGTATTGAGAACTTACCGCAGCAGAGACATGTCCAGTAGACATCACCCCAGCAGAGACATGTCCAGTAGACATCACCCCAAGTATTGAGAACTTACCCCAGCAGAGACATGTCCAGTAGACATCACCCCAGCAGAGACATGTCCAGTAGACATCACCCCAGCAGAGACATGTCCAGTAGACATCACCCCAAGTATTGAGAACTTACCGCAGCAGAGACATGTCCAGTAGACATCACCCCAAGTATTGAGAACTTGCCCCAGCAGAGACAGGTCCAGTAGACATCACCCCAAGTATTGAGAACTTGCCCCAGCAGAGACATGTCCAGTAGACATCACCCCAAGTATTGAGAACTTGCCCCAGCAGAGACATGTCCAGTAGACATCACCCCAAGTATTGAGAAATTGCCCCAGCAGAGACATGTCCAGTAGACATCACCCCAAGTATTGAGAACTTACCCCAGCAGAGACATGTCCAGTAGACATCACCCCAAGTATTGAGAACTTACCCCAGCAGAGTTGATCATGTCCAGTAGACACCACCCCAAGTATTGAGAACTTACCCCAGCAGAGTTGATCATAGACACCACCCCAAGTATTGAGAAATTGCCCCAGCAGAGACATGTCCAGTAGACATCACCCCAAGTATTGAGAACTTACCCCAGCAGAGTTGATCATAGACACCACCCCAAGTATTGAGAACTTGCCCCAGCAGAGACATGTCCAGTAGACATCACCCCAAGTATTGAGAACTTACCCCAGCAGAGTTGATCATGTCCAGTAGACACCACCCCAAGTATTGAGAACTTACCCCAGCAGAGTTGATCATAGACACCACCCCAAGTATTGAGAACTTACCCCAGCAGAGTTGATCATGTGCTCGAGCTTCTTGTTGAACTGATCAATCAGATTCTGTTTGCGTTCAATGATAGCATTTCTCTTGATAATCTCATTCTCACTCTTGGAGATGATGTCATTCTTCTGGCGGATCTCATCGTCTAGACCCTGCAGGATCTTCTTCAGTCTCTCAGTCCTGGCCTTCACATTGGACGTGTCCAGAGCATTCCGGGCAATGGTGTTCTCTACCTCTGCCATTTGGGTCTCCTGAAAACACAAACACATAAGTTGATAAAATAGATGCAAGTTACATACCAATACAACAGCATCAGCACCTTTCTCAAAGGCTTTAGAAAAAAGTGCATCATCAGTTAGTGATTTGGTGCTATTTACAGTGTAAAATAGCTAATATTTGTGACCTTTTCAAATACACAGGGTGAGTGTGAGTGTGAATTGGGCTCAACACTACTACACTGAACTGCAGAAGAATGAGGAGAATTGATGCAGACATTTGACATTTACCACTTCTGAGAAACAATTACAGGTATATATGGTTCTGACAAACCAAGATTCATACTCAGGGAAAATCCAGTGTTTCTTGCAAGCCTCAAACCCAACACTTGTGGTGCCTTAGTCAACAGGGCAACCATTTGTGAATTATTATTGCTTATAAGAGAATAACTGCTAACTATTATCATGATCATAATTCATATGATTACCAATCGATTGTCTGGATGTAAAAGCCATGAGGCTTGCCAGTTGTCTGATGGGAAGCATGTGGTGTGTGACATCTGTATTTGTATTTTGGTGGTTGTTAGAAATAAACTTGAATGAACATTATAGACAAAAACTTTGTTGGTCTTTGTCTAAACCTAAATACTATCCAGGTGAACTCACCAGACTCTTGGTGAGGTCCCTCATCTTTTTGGTCAGTTTCTTGGTGTACTGGGAAGCCTTGTCCATGGTCAGCTGGTCCCGGATCTTCTCCATGATCTCATCCTCCAGCTTCACCTTCTCCTGGTACTCACGCTCGATCTGCTTCCGCAGGCCATTCAACTCATTCATGCGCAGGGTCTTGTCCTGGGACAGAACAGATGGCGATAAGGTACGATTCCACAGTTTTATTCTCACAATCCTGATACTGCCCAGCACACAGTCATGAAGAGATTGTAACTGAATAATTGTTACTAACAAGTACCCTAATAAGAATCGTAGCATATCATAATTAATATCTATTTCTTTATTTAAGATGACTTTAGAAATGTTCAACACTTTAATTATCAAATGACTCAGCAATGGACGAATATTGGTAAATGAATGATTGCTAAATATTTTTGATCACATCAAAGTTAATCTTTCTTAGCATAGTTCAAAACAATATCAACAAAACTGCCAGAATGAAAGTAAATCTTTGATTTGAAATGTTATTATTTTAGTGTTACACACAAATGCCTTGAGCCATCATCTCAACCTACTGTTGTGGCCTTGTTGAGTGTCTGCTCAGTCTCATGCAACATCCGGGTGAAGGTCGTGTACTCGGCCTTGAGAGCGTCGTGTTTAGCCTGGCAGGTGGTCAGCTGCTTCTTGACCATGTCGATGTCCCGGTTCGTCTTGGCCAGGATCTGACACAGCTTCTCATTCTGCTCCTGCTCCTTCTGAATGGATTTCTTGAATCCCTCGATCTCAGTCTCCAGTGACAGGATCTTCTGCTGCTGCTGACTGCAATGCAGGGTTAGAAACTAACTGTGTTGGTCCACTAGTCCTTGTGATGATAACATATAGCAAAACCCTTAATAATGGCCAATTTCTACTAGTCCTTGGGATACCTTAACTATTGGCCAGTTTGGCAAGGACTATAGGACTAGTGCCAATTTCTAACGCTGCAATGGTGGGCAACAGTCAGGTGACCCATAAAATCATATTCATCCCAAACACCTTAGTGACCCATCATTTGCTGTTGGGGGGAGCTGGGATTTTGTATGGAGATATTTTCAGCTAAAGCTGTAATACCAGATATTTTGTTAGTTAAAGTTATGAGCCTGAATATTGATCTAAACTAGCTAGGACTGCAAGTTTACCGAACCTAGTGCCCCTGTGTAAAATTACCTGCGTGTACACCTTGCACATAATAAGACCCTCCTAGCTCTGGGACTAAAAATCTCCCCAATTCCTGAATTCACATTCTTACTTGAGAGCCTCCTGCATGGCAGAATGCGCCTCGTCTCGGCGCCTCATTCCAATCAGACTGCTATTCCACTGCTGAAACAGCTGCTTCTTTTCAAGGGTGATTGCCTGCAGGGAGACATTTTCAATTCAAATATACGTATCAATAACTTCAATTTTCTAAAAGATTTCAATCAAATTACAATCCTTGCCATTCTAATACCCTCCTACTGACTCACCTCAATTTCCATGTGTGCTTCCATCAGCGCTTCCTTTGCTGCCTTTGTCTCGTCCGATTGGGCGATGATCTGAGCTTCAAACATGGCCATCTCCTCCTTCAGCTTGTCCACCCTCTCCACCAGGCGGTCCACGTACAAGTCCTAGGAAGAAAATAGAACAATTCTTCAGAAATCATTACCTGAACCAAATTAGTCGATATTAAATCTTGTTAATCCTAGTTCCTTATATCATACATATTATTCATTATGCTTTCAAGAATTTGATTTTTTTTTGTAAAACTAATATATCTGACCTGTTTCTGCTTCTCCATCTCGACCTTGGCCACTTCTGACTCTGCCTTTTCCGCAGCGCGTCTCATGATTGCGATGTCACCACGCACATCCTCCTTAGCATTGTCCATGTAGAAGAGACGCAGCGCCAGGTTCTCAACCTCAGCCTGGAGTTCAGCACCTACAGGACAGCCCAGATACAGTGAGTGAGTGAGTGAGTGAGTGAGTGAGTGAGTGAGTGGGTGGGTGGGTGGGTGAGTGAGTGAGTGAGTGAGTGAGTGAGTGAGTGAGTGAGTGAGTGAGTGAGTGAGTGAGTGAGTGAGTGAGTGAGTGAGTGAGTGAGTGAGTGGATGGGTTAGTGAGTGAGTGGGTGGGTGGGTGAGTGGGTGAGTGGGAGGTTGGGTGAGTGAGTGAGTAAGTGAGTGGGAGGTTGGTTGGGTGAGTGAGTGAGTGAGTGGGAGGTTGGCTGAGTGAGTGAGTGAGTGAGTGGGAGGTAGGGTGAGTGAGTGAGTGAGTGGGAGGTTGGTTGGGTGAGTGAGTGAGTGAGTGAGTGAGTGAGTGAGTGAGTGAGTGAATGAGTGAGTGAGTGAGTGGTTGAGTGAGTTGTTGAGTGAGTTGTTGAGTGAGTGAGCGTGCATGCGTGGGTGGGTGTCTTGGTGAGTGGATAAGTGATCTGGTGTTCAACATGCATCAGCAGGTTTTTAATTAACAACTGTAAAACAAAATAAAATGGTCTAGATCCCATTCCACAAAGCAATCTTAGCGCTAAGGTGATCATAACTCCGGTACTTTAACATAAGCTTACGACAGTCTTAGTGCCACGATCGCTTTGTGGATCCTTTGTGGAACCCTGCCCTTACAGATGTTGATGTTCAGCTTAGTAGCTTCACACATAACTATCTTCCTCCCTTACCCCTCTTCTTCTCCTTGTTGACAGCCAGCTGGTTGTCCTTGTACAAGGAACGGACCTCATCCAGCTGCTGCTCTTCGTGCTGGCGATCCTGGTTGAGTGTGGAGTATTCGTCGTGGTTCTGTTCCAGCATCATCTGGTACCGAGCCAACTCCTGCTGGACTCCATACAGCTCCACACCCAGGTCCTCACGGTTCCTCTTCTTGGAGCGAAGGTTCTCCTCCTGCACACAAAATAATTATCATAGAATCAGAGTGTACCATTTGAAATATTTTGGTTGTGTTATATTGAAATATATTAGTTTCAATTTTATAAGATCCAAACCTGAGAGACTAGTCTTGATTTCACGTCAAATTTGACTAATTTGTCTATTAAAAGTTTTGGAATAATTTTCTGAGTGCTCAACATTACCATTCAAATATGCACTGATTATTCTTACCAATTCCCTCAGTTCAAGAGAGACTTTCTCGTTCTGCTTCTCCAGGTGATTCTTCAAAGCATTCTGAAATCTTCTCATCAGGGGCTGAAAAAGAGATTGTTTTAAAGTTAGAGAATGATTGAAAGAACAAAAGAATTTTGTTAATAAATTAATGTTTTAATTTTATTTACTATTTTAAAATATATCTGACATGTTGAAAACCGTAAACATTTTTGCAACAATGCATTCACATTATTCATATTTTACAAACAAATGGCAAACTTTTACCAAATATTATTAAAAAGGATTACAGAAGCCATTTATGGTCCAAACCTTACATGAACAGCTATCAAGATGATAAAACATGACCACCTTGGAGCGTATATATACAATCAGCTGTTGAAACGTACATGAACAGCTGTTCCTATCAACACTTACATGATCAGGGTCCAGGACCACCATATCAGTTTCATTATCGCTGGCATCATCAGTGTCTGCGCCAACTTCATCTACAGCTTCCTCTTCATCATCACTCCCTCCATCACTGTCGTCCCCCTCAGGGTCGGAGGGTGGGCGGTCCAGGATGTCAGTGATATTGAAATGGGTCTGAGGTGGCTCAGAGGGCATCTTGGGCTCAGGGTAGTCACCAGGTTCACCGTCATCATAAACTCCAAAATCATACTTTTGGGGGTCATCCTCATCTTCAGCTGTATCAATGCAACAACATTTCAACATTAAGTGAGTAAGATGAGTTTAAGGAGCCATGTAAGTTATATTTTTTAGGATAGCCCAAATTAAACAGATCCTTGTGCTACCACTTGGCGAAACCAATGAGTGCTGTTATTCAAGTAAAATTTCCATGACCCAAGGAACCCCTATATGTCACACTCTCACAGAGGCATAGGTGGCCCAGCGTCTAAGGTGCTGCGATTCACTGTGCAGAGTTGCGTCCCTTAGGCATGCCAGAAACCTATGATTGTGAGTTCGAATCCCGGTTCACCCCGATAATGTTTTTAGGTTTGTCAGAACCATACCCATGCTTGTGGCTTTCACTGAAGTGGTAAATGTCTGAGACCTGCATCACTTCAGGCTCTCCTCCCACATTAAGCTAACACGCTGCGATATAACTTGAATACTGTTAAAAGCGGCATAAAACCCACCTCACTCACTCACACTCTCACTGGTGGTGAGCGGATATAGGCCAGGTGACTTACCTGCCAACTCTAAGGCCATTGTATTGTCTGGTTCTTTCTCATCAGCTACATCTGTAACAAGGGCAATTTTCATCAAATCAAGGGTCAAGCAATCAAGTAATCAACACCATTACACATTTGCTTCGTTCTCCTTGATTATCCATTCTAAGATGCTTCGCTAAAAGATCAAAGGTGCTGACTGTACTTTATCCGATAAAGTACACTTTTTGACTTACGTCATAATGGACTCATGTCAGCAAGTGTCCTCATGCTTGAACTACAAAAGTTCAGGGCAAACTATACTTCATTACACTACACATGGGGTAGAGCAAACTTTATTTCTGAGTAATGTATATCCCTATTCTATTCTCTATGTACCTCTGTAACTGTAACTGTTAGCCAGTTGCTGTAACCTGTATAATGGGCCTCTTAACGGAATACACGGTGGCATCGTATAAGCGGGCCCACAATACATTTAATCAAATCAGAAGACTGTTAATTAAATTTCAGTGTAAAACATGTTTTCTGAGCACATAGACCGGGTAAGGATAGTCCTGTTGCAACAAGAATTGTATTTGTATTTTAAGATGGCACGCAAATGTCAAGTCAAATACTGGCAATATCGTCACTTGTTTCAATTACCAAAGAACTGTGTAATTTCCATATCTTATTCCTTGATCAAGAAGATTAAATAATGCAAAGAGCTCACTGGTCAGGCCTGGGTCTAAAGTGGGCTTTGTGTGCATTCTGGAGCCCTAGTCTGTTTTCTTAACTAGTTCATTACTTTGGATACATTTAACTACATAGCTCTCTCGTAGTATTAGCACAAACCTTTCTGGTACATCGTGTTTAAGTCTCACCCCTACAAGGTCACGTTTCCCCATGTTTCATGTTTTCTACTCTTGTGATGTGAGAGTGATGCTCTAGGGGTAATTGCCCTGCTAATCAGTGTTGGCTTTCTCCTCATTGTTTAAGTCCCTGGCCTTGCAGCAATATTGTAAATTTCACAATAAATTGTATATTAATAATACTTATCCAATCTTACATTATGAATTTCTTCCTTCTTCTTTTGATCCTATGTGGAAACATGCTTGAACAAAGTTTCCGGTTTCTCAAAAACAATTCACCTGAACACATCCCAACATCACCATGGTTACCACTCAAACAAATCAACTACACATTACAATCATTCTCTTTTGCAGAGCTTACAGGCTAGAGGAACTGTGATGCAGGGTTGGTTGGGAGGGCATATAGCGTGATATACTTATCCTATCTCACACTATACATTTATACCACAGTTAGGTGGTGGGGCGCAGATACAACCATAAGACATACACAAGGAAGCTGGTGCTAAACACTGGAATAAAAAATCTATCACACTGCCTAGACAAAAAAATGGTGAGTGGGAAAAATACACTATAACAGGTGATATGATCCCTATACGTTAGTTGGACATTTAAGAGTTGACTTTCTCTTTGTGTGAGTTCATTGGAGTATGAACCTTCATAGAGCGAGGGCCAAACTGTATGAACGTCGAAGCTTGCGACGATGTTCATACAATGTTTGGCCCTCACTTTATGCAGGTTCATAATCCAATGAACTCACACAAAGAGAAAGTCAACCCTTATAAATTTTTATATCACTATTTTTACAGCAAATAATGTAGACCTAGATCCATACACAATGATATTTAGTAATGGATACATGTGATTTAATGTTTACAGACACCAAAACAACAAACCGCTGTATTGCGGAATAAAATAGTTCTCAAAACAAGAGTTGACATGAGCGTATGTATGCTTAACATGCTCTACAAGAACAACTTTTGTAGTTTCTTTACAACAAAATTATTCAAATCATTGGACGAGAAAGATCTGTTAAGAACTACCTCAGTAAGTCAGTCACAATGACAGCACATTGTAATACGTTTACTTCAAGGACCACCGTCAAAATGGCCGACACGATAAACGTGACGGGAAAGATTTCGGAAGTTGTTAATGAACCTGTGGCGGTTACTGTACATGTTTTAGTCATCATTGATCAATTGGCCGGTCATTGAAAGATGATTGTAAAGATGTGTCCAATAGATACTCAGGTAAATTAATAGATTACTGTAGACTGTCACTGTAGTCTAGCCACAGATCGAGCCAATACTACAATACTTTGGATGTGCGTTAGTTTGTTTTGTTCACTAGCATGGGTCGTAGTGAGGATATTTGTTAATGATCATGCAGTCAAACTCTATGACTTTGATCAATGTAAACTAAAACACTGAGTTCAAGATTAAAGGATCTAAATGATCGGTAGAACGCTTCTGTATTTATTCGTGCTACGGAATTCCTAGGGGATCCCCTAGGAATGTGGAAGCAGTCCATCAGTGTTTACGTCATTTCAAGATTTCGTGTAAAATGTATGAGCGTCAAATAGTGTCATTCATACACTTATGAACGTCAATTTTGGGGTCATGTGACTGACCTCTCGTCCAATGGAAAAGCCGTATATCGTGTAAACTTCAAAATAAAAAATTATAACAACATGAATTTGGGTAGATCATGCGTTACATCGTTACATGAATGGCTGCATAGCTGTAAATAATAATTGATACAGCGTACGACTTATAATCGATGCGGAATGGGTCTCCAGCCAATCAAGTCTACCAGACAAGAATTGGTGAAGACCCTAGAGGTCAGTAACAGAGATGTCAAGGAGGGAGTGGGAAGCGAAGACCATATTGGACTTCCAGAAACAGCCTTCCATAATGGCAGAGAGAGACAAAAGTTTGAAAATACAACACAACACCATTAAACCTAATACTAATAAGCACATCTGCATATGTCACCTGGGTTTCCTTCCACAAAGCAATCTTAGAGTTATGACTATTGTAAGCCTATGTTAAAGTATGGTTACAATCATATCAGTGCTAAGATCACTTTGTGGAATGGGCCCCTGGACAGGATACTAATATAAAGCTTGACTCACCGATCTCTTTCTCAGTAACTGAGTCTGTCCTCTTGATACCTGATCCAGGTCGGCTACCTGCGTTAGATGCAGGTCGACTCCCTTGACCTGACTTGGCTGCAGATGCAGGTCGACTCCCTTGACCTGACTTGGCTGCAGATGCAGGTCGACTCCCTTGACCTGACTTGGCTGCAGATGCAGGTCGAGACCCGTCCTGTGGGGAGACCTTGCCTTCTGCTGTGGGTGTGGTTGACCCTACCCTCTCTCCTGTGACAGCAAGGGGGCTAGTGGGGCTGACTGACTTAGCAGCAGATGCAGGTCGACCTGCAGCTGAGGATGGTCGAGCTGTGGCTGATGATGGTCGAGCTGTAGCTGATGGAGGGCGGTCGCTTGTGGGCGTGGGTGTACGTCCAGTCTTGGCTGCTGATGTTGGACGTGAATCAGCCTTAGGGGTAGCTGATGTTGGACGTGAATCAGCCTTAGGGGTAGCTGACGTTGGACGTGAAGCAGCCTTAGGTGTAGCTGACGTTGGACGTGAATCAGCCTTAGAGGTAGCTGATGTTGGACGTGAATCAGCCTTAGAGGTAGCTGATGTTGGACGTGAATCAGCCTTTGGAGCAGCTGATGTTGGACGCGAACCTAGTCATTAAAGGATATTTTAGAACAACCACCAGACTATCAAACTCCTCCAGCTAAAAGGGACAGTATGGAAACATTCAGAAAAGAATGTACAACTGCCTTCTACAGGCATATAGTTATGTGCCATTTTTGTTGCATATTTAGCAATATTTACTGCAATATTCAGTATTTGGAGATATCCATATCCAAAATAACAAGATCAGACAGCTGCAAATCATTATGTTCATCCATGTTATCAATATTATGAGCCATGATAAAGATTATCATTAAGTGGTTAAGAGGCAAGGGTTACACAAGATGCCATTGGTTTGATAACAATTTCTGCAATTTTCCTCAAAATCCTTGACAATGGCGTTGTGAGAGGTAGAACATTTTAAGGCAACTGAAGGCAGTTTGTATGTGTTAACACATTAAAAAAAGTGTAAAAAATATTTATTAGCTTACAGATTTAAAAAAACAACAATCTTGGTTAGTAGGTGGGAAAAAATAATGTAATGGCACTGCTAGTAGCTCACCTAGATATGTAGTCTACAATTAAAATGTCAACAGAAACAGACACTCTACAAAAGTTGCTGTCGGCACTGCTATTCAAATATTGTCGGCATAAATAGTATCAACGAATGTGAAACAAGTAACTAGCTACATGTCTTCATGATGTTTGTATATCTTCAAGAATAAATGTACAATTACAGAACATTGTTGAATAACATCTGCTTGTCTACATAAATAGAATTAAATACAAAATGGTTACCCCCAGCAGATTTTCTCCCTGACTGTGGTCTTGAGGAGGGTTTGGCTGACCCTGGTCGGGACGAGGGTTTGGTTTCTCCACCTTCCTCCATGGCGTCTGTTTCAAACTGTGGATAAAAGTCTCCATTACTGAATGTCACACTTCAGGTTCGTCACACTCCCATTAGACGTTAGTCTTCAATCAGTATGCCCATCAAGGAGCTCTTCAGCCAAAGGGAGGGTTTAGCATTGTGCTATTACTACTTACTGGACCGCCTCCGTGGGCGGCTAAGGGGCTAAAACAAAGACTGGTCGGTTCGGAGTCAGTATATTGTGTCTGAGTGGGGTATTCATGTTAAACTGTGGCATGGTATCTCAGCGAGCTAGCACTATAAATCTGCATCAGTCTGAACTAGTACAAGCAGCCACACAAACATACACACGTACATGCACGTTGCTATATAAGTGCAATAATCTTGGACGCGATGTTAAACCCAATTTCACCTCACCTCACCTATTACTACTTACTGACTTTTATTAACATGATTAGTAATTTAATAGTTTGGTTTACAGGACAATAATTCAACAACTGTATCATTCATGATTATCATTTGCTCATCATACTGTTGTACAAATCATACATTACAAAGTAAGGCATATCAAAGTCAATACGACTATTTAGACCAGTGATGCTGTTCAGATTGCTTGGAAAATATCAAAAATGTAATACCTCTTTTAGAGCTTCTGTTGTCACCTTGGAGACAACATCCTGAACTTTAGAAGAAGAGGGTCTGGAAAACAGGAAATTATAAAAGATGAGAATGAACATGAAATTGAAAAATATAATGGAAACATAAAAACAAAGATCGTGGGAGTGAATTGGTGTTTTATTAGGGTTTTATCAGTCCCTTGATTTCCACTTGCATGGAGTCAGGGAAACACATTGAAAAAATACATGAAAGATCTGACGTCAAAGTAATGAGAGTAACATTGTGAACACATTAACACCATGCTCTGACAGTTAAATGGTATTGAACACAATGCGCCTGTTTAGAAGACTCAAGCAGTGATAGAAACTAACATATTAGTCCACTAGTCCTTCTACTCAGTTGACGATGTAACATGTACGTGAGACAGGTTTTGTTACTTGTAAGAGTACCTATCTGACTGCATGTGCATGGACAACGGATTTCTGGACAAAAAAAGGGTCTACAATAATGATAACGTGATGATGATAACATATAAGAAAACCCTTAAATATTGCAAATTTCTACTTGTCCTTATACCTGTTGGGCAGTTTGGCAAGGACTATAGGACTAGTGCCAATTTCTATCACTGGTGTGTCATCAAGTTCTAGGTTGGGAAGAATGTTTAAAAGGGTGTCATCAAGTTCTAGGTTGGGAAGAATGTTTAAAAGGGTGTCATCAAGTTCTAGGTTGGGAAGAATGTTTAAAAGGGTGTCATCAAGTTCTAGGTTGGGAAGAATGTTTAAAAGGGTGTCATCAAGTTTTGGTCTGAGAAGGATGTTTCAGGGGGTGTCATCAAGTTCAATGTTTGTCATTATCTGTACAATACTGAACATCGGGCAATTCTTCTACCCTTAAGACACAGCACGAGAGTTATGGATTGTAAACAAACAGCAGAGGTAACCACTTCATCATATGCACTACATGGTAAATACACTGTTATTTATGTTTGTTAGCCAAGTGGTAATGGAACATTGTGAAATGAAAAGTATGCCATCCACAGATTTTCACAATGGCAGATGCCATGCTGGGTTGTTTTTTTTGTTTTTGTTTAACCCCCACTCAGCAATATTTCAGCTATATGACAGCGGTCTGTAAATAATCAAGTCTGGACCAGACAATCCAGTGATTGGTATCATACGCATCGATCTAGGCAATTTGGATTCGATGACCACGCAATCCCGTTAGTCTTTAATATTTTCAAACCTAAGTCCTTGTTTATTAGGTTGGACAGTGTGAAAACCACTTGCCAAATATTCTTTAACCTTACTAAGTTTTGTGAGAATCAGATGGAAAGAAAGGTAACAGCAGTAAGATGTACCTAGCTCTTAGTCTTACATTATTTACTGTGATAATCAGAAAGTCAGTTTCTTGGAAAATAAATTCATCACTATCTCCGTCGCCCATTAGTCATAAATTTTACCTTTGACACAGATCTGGACACCATTATTATTGAAAAAACAAACCTGCATAGTTTCAGATTTAAAGCTATAAACAAATGCAAGATATTTTCGTAAATATATCCGCAATGAGTTCACAACAAACCTTTCCTGTTTGTCCGCCATACTGTAAATTGTTGCTATGCGTCAACAACAACCTGTTGTGGAATTGTGGGTAAAACTGTCGAACCAATAGAAATCGTCGTTACAACATTCACTGGGAATTATTCAAGATGGTGGCGTGTGACAGACGGTAAGTAGTTGAACGCCGATTTTCTAACACAAAGTTTGTTTTGCGCTCTCATTGTGTTATCAGCGATTTTTCAAGACATTTAGAAATTATGTTAAATATTTTTCTGTTCAATTCATCATAAGTATGTGTATATACGTGTGAATTTGCCGCTTTGGCGACAATACTGTGTGTTGTTTTTATTCCTTATCCGCCCCCGTCAATGCTGACTTGTTTGACATCAATGGGCAGTTAGATGAGAATGCAACATTTTTTTTATTTAACTCGGAGCTTTCGAATTCTTAACTTCGGGAATCTAAACTGTTTACTATGTTTGTTCAGAGGGAAATAGGCATTGCTGAACGGACCAATCAGTTCATGTAACTTGGAAACAATTTCACCCCAAGCACAACTGTTGTCTTATGCTAGGTGCAAAGATTATAACTTGTGTTTACATTGCAAGGTATTCAAGCTGGTAAACTAAAGATTGGACCCCAGCCAATATGTAGTTTCAGTAAGCTGAATCAGGTCATTCAAACAACACTTTACACATCTGCTGACGCAAATGTTATGATGAAGATCAATCTACCACTGAATAATCCATTTCCCTTGTATTACAGAGAGACAATGTCCCATTTTCGCACAGGAATCTATTACTATGTCTAGACCTGCACAGAAATTGGAAACCAAACTTTGTAGCCTAGTCACCATTTATGTGTCACTTAGTGAATTACTTAGTGGAATAACAGTAGGTTGGGTTGAAGCAACATTCATATTGATGATGATGATCACATCAGCTCTGTTACCAATGTAGAGTACACATCATAGGGTTCAACACTGATTATCTATCTGTTTAGGAGACTCAACACCCGTCACATTTGAATATTAGTCTAGAAACTCTGCCTTCAAACACATTATTGGTCAATTTCAACAAAAATGAAAACAACAGCAGCATAATACTTATAAATACCTATCAAAAACTCATGTACTATACTGTTAAAATACTCTTTGCTATTTGAGAATGTAACAAATATGTCATAAAATAACCAATGTATTTTTTATTTAATCATAATTATTTGTGTTTAGTCTTCTACCTTGTTTTGGTCAGTCTTTTGTATTGGACAGGTATCTGCCGGTGGATTATAAGTCCACTCAACCATGACCTATGTGATTATTAGCTGTCTGACAAGTGGGGTGTCTGACAAATGAGGAGACACCTGATATCGCTGTTGTAACAGCTTAATTGACCTTTGACTTTTAAGCCGACAATCAATTACCTTAATTGCAAATGAGACTTCATGGCTCACTGCTCACATGTGTTTCTATCAGGTTTAATTTGTCTGTTTACATTCCACTATGCATGTACCATGTAAGCTGCTAAGTTGTTACTGGCAATACTCTTTGTCTTATATAATTATGGTAATTGACACGAATTTGATTACCCCAAGCAATGTGTAGAAATGATTTAATCTGATAAGATATAATATCCTGAAGTGATATATAAAATACAAATGTCTGCTAGCCGGAGCAGAATGTTGTTTCAATTAATCATTATAATTCATAATTAAATGGTTTAAGTTTCAATCAAAGAATCAATCAAGTAATCTGTGTAATGCTTATGCTTTTTAATTTTTTTAATTTGTGGGAGATAATAAAACAGAATGTTACATGAATACCAAGTGTCCCAGTGTATTGCTGTTGCAACAGTTCTTATAGATAAATGGTAGATGTATTTGTGTTAAAGAATAGAGCAAACTATCATTTGAAGGGTTTTCTATTATTGTCATGACAAATAAAATGAAACATTGCTTTGAATTTATGATTTTTTTCACTCCATCATGAGAAATCATTAATTGATCATTGATTGCTTTTTAAACCAAATGGCAATGCTAATTTTAAAAGTGTTAACCAGTTCCCAGCACTTCTGAACATGTCTATATTTGTTCTAATCCCCATGAAATACCAGATGTTTCAGATGAACAGGGTTTCACTGTAAATGTTCTAACCCTCACTCTACATGGACACTTGAGATACTGGTTCCTGTGTATACAACTACTATTTGGTGCTGATGAAGTTCTTGTTGATTGCTCCATCATTTCATTATGTTAATTGGATTATTGAGGTCGCCACGTTACACAAAGGGTAGTTTTCTACCTACCATACACTGCTTACACAATTTGTCAATCTACCCTATCAAAATATTTATCAATCTACTTACCTGACAAAGAGCAAGATGTTTATGAAATTGAACTTTACTTTTAAATACTAACTATCATGCTTATTTCTTGTCCTGTATTCATGGTATTAGATTATCGGACATTTGGAAAAATGTTGTTCTTCATCAGGAATCAAAGTTTGTCATATGAACCTCTTTGGGTTTGGATCCATCTGCTTTATGAGAGCAAGGAACCAGTTATTTAATTTTATTACTGTTTCAAATTGACTGAGGAGAGGTGAAGACTGTCAGAGTACTGATCCACCTGACAAGTTGACCGAGTGATAGACAAGTCCTGAATTCTTTTCCATTGTATCAACTGAAAAGGCTGGTAATTGGTGACTAACTTTCAGTATGAATACAATACTTATATTTAGTCTATATGTGATACAAGGAAAGAATTACCAACTATTGTAATGCTAGAAATAGAATGGAAATGGTTTAAACATAACATCTGTGACAAACGTCCTTGTTGTCGCATCAGGGAATAGGGATAAACATATTCTGGTTTTAAGTGTTCTACTTTTAGTTCATCTTTACCATATTAACCAGTTTCCCCTGACATTAAAATCATATACATTTGTATGCATATTAAAAAACTGAGGAATTGCATGAGGGGAGGTGAAATGGAGTTTAACATTGCATTATCAGATTATTTTCACTTCATATTGTTTCGTTGTTTAATGCCACACTTAGCAGTATTCCAGTTATATGACAGCTGTCTGTAAATAATCGAGTCTGGACCAGACAATCCAGTGACTGACGTCATGAGCATTGATCTACACATTTAGGATACAATGACATGCGTCAACCAAGTCAGTGAGTCTGACCACCAGATCCTGTTAGTCACCTTTTTTGGCAAGCATGGGTTGCTGAAGACCTATTCTAACCTGGATCTTCACGGGTCTTCACTTATGTAGTGATGTGGATGTATGTTTGTATGGCTGCTTACAATGCCATTTATTGCAAGAGGATGATGGGGAATTGTTGCTTTGTGACAGTAGTATTCATTGCGAGACAATACATGGCACTAGTGCAGAAATGGCAAGTAAACAGGCATCATAAGGTAGGGGAACTTATTCAGACAAATTGCTAATGATTTCAACAATCAGTTTGTATGATGAACACGGGAGATGGTACTATGGATATACAACATTTTTATTACAATTGATACAATGTTTCGATGTAGATATTAACACCATTATCAGGCAAGTGATGTGCAGTTAAGTGAAGAAACTGTGTGCATTTCACATACAGCTGCAGGATGAAGAAGTTGCACCCACTGAATCTTCATGACAAATTCAGGAGTTTGTTGTTGAGGCAGAGGCCATATACAGAGGGACAGGCGTCAGCAGTAGATTATCACTTATGGCCACTGCTGTGCCCATGAGTGAAATTGATACATTGGGTCGTCCTGCTGCTTTTCTCCTGCCAGTGGTCAAGATGCACGACTCATGTGCAGATGCTCTTATTTGAGGACTTCCATAGTCTGGTAAACAATCTTACACAATGCTTGAATGCTGAGAGTTCATTCCCTTAGCTTCCCCTCAAGTGCACATGCTGACATAACAATGATATTTCAAGTATTAGGCTGAGTGCAGTTAAAATCAGATATACTTTCTGATGGATGCCCTTTTCAAAACACCCAAATAAATAAGAAATAAATTATGCAACCACAAAGAAATATAATAAATCTTCCGATTGACTCCTGTAAAAGAACTTTGTTTCATATTTAATGGAGTATTTTCATTTGCAGGCGCCATTTTCTTTTTGTGAGATAGAACACTGGGATGTGGTACAATCTAACCGTTCGTTAATTCGCAAGAATGTTAATGTATACATATAGTTACTTATATGTAATAAACGCCCTTTAACAATTAGGAAAACTAACATAACTCAACTTAGTAAAGGGTTGGACAGCTGATTAGTCTATTCACGAAAAGCCTCTCATGTAAATCTTCAAATCAAGTCTCGTGTGAAAGTGCTGCTTGGTCTCGCACGGCAGTGATCGGTCTCCCAGCTAGTCCTGAGGCCGGTTCCTTGGTAAATGGTCTCTGGATGAGGTTATGAGGCCAGTCCTTGTACCCTTTGCACATAGGATTGATTTCAGTTTGAATTCCAACAGGATAATGCCCATCCAAACAAAACTTGTCTTTCAATGGATATTTCGAGAAATGGGAACACCTGTATGCTGCCTTGGTCAATTATGTCTTGACTTTAACTCTCAACCCCCTTGAATGTCTGTGGGAGGAACATGATGAACTTTGATATCACATGCACCAATGTCCTGTAGCGCTTCACAATCATGACCAACCCGTTGCAGCTCTCCAAGAAAAGTGGACCGGGATCCCCGTGCTACCATGATGTCATGCAGTTGCCTCATGCTAACACTTATGCCAGTCGATCAATCAATGATCAGTAAGTGGTCAGACAACCAATGAACATTTAGACCACATAGATCTCTTAACTGGAGTTACGAAAAAACAATTCTGCTTACATATCTCCCACTGAAGTCAGGGCCCTGTTCCACAAAGCGATCGTAGCGCTAAGATGATCGTAACTCCTATACTTTATCATAAGCTTATGACAGTCGTAGCGCTATGATCGCTTTGTGGAACGGGGCCCTGGACTGGATAATATATTGTGATACACAGTCACTGTATTGCTGGTATTGATGAAGTTTGTTGAAACTGCTGTGGATTGAATGTTTTTAGAATATG